GAAGAGAAATTTTTTCACACAGCGAGTTGTTTAGATCTGGGATGCATTGCCTGAAAAGGTGGTGGAAGCTGATTCGATAACAGCATTTAAGAGCGAAATAGATAATTATTTGAGGAGGACAAATTTGCAGGACTACGGGGAGAGCGCGGGGGAATGAGATTGATTTGGATAGTTCTTTTCAAAGAGCCGGGACAGATACGGTGGGCCGAATGGCCTCCTTCTGTGCTGTATAATTCTAAGATTCTATGAGTACCTCAATGCGCACTCTGGAGTCCCCAAGTCTTGGCTCTTGCCAACCTGTGCCTAATACTTTCTGGAATTAGTTAAGCAGGATGTGTGCCTCCAGGGAGACAGTGCACATTCCATCAATCTATCGCTGGGATTTCCATTTGTAGGTGGGATGCATGGTTTGGATAGTCTTAAGCATGGTGGTGGTGTTGTTGTTGATGGGTTTCCGCATGTGTCAGACACCCAGCTAACCAATCAAGCAATTAATCAATCAATCATTTAATGTAATATTAAGGCATCTAACAATAATAATTATTTTTGCCTACTGGCATGTAAAGTTCTTTTCAAAATCCCTGTGAACACAATTCAGGAGCCATGTTGGTATGTTCTGCTGGTAAGTACCTCAGTGTAAACTCATCCTGGATGATGGGCAATCTATTAAACTCATTGTTAAAAATTGTATTATATTTGTCATTGCTCAAAATGAACTTCTTCATGTAACCAACATTCTAAGCCTGATATCAAAAGCTATAGTGGTTGAGATTTTGTGTGTCACATTTTTATTGCAATATACTGCAGTTTGTACCTATATAATTTCTATGCAGCTTTGTGTCAATTTTCTTCTGTTGGAAGCTTGGTGTAAACTGATTCAGGAATCCATGCCTTTATACACAGAAAGATAATTAACTGGAGGAATGTGAGGACTTAGCACGTTCCCAAAATGAACTGTTGCCAATATCTCCCTGCTGTCAAATCCACTTTTCTTCATTTGTTTCATGACTTGGAACAACAGTGGTGGCAGGACAACCCAAAATTCACACTAATGCTTCTTAAAGTTAGGTGGATTGCTTTATGATACCGTCCACTGTCTTCATTTGATACCTGCTGAAATTAAATAATAACAAACTTCAAAGGACGCATCCTGCCCCCTGGTTGGTAATAGTATTGAATTTATGGAATATTTTGCTACCTATCTGCATTGAAACAAGCTTGCAACATTTTATTTTAAGAGACAAACAACTGGAAGCTTCGCTGATGTCTGTATTAATGTCTGTAATATATCATGCAGCTTGTTTACATACAATTGAGCGTGGTGTGCTTTGACTAATTTATAAAGAATAAGAAAAAAGAGAGGTTTGATATGCTCTACTGCCAAGTGAGTGAAAGTCAGAAACCACTTTAAACAGAAATCTGGGGTGAGGCCTAAGTGGTGCCTTGTTCCTGTGCCAAAACAGGTAGGGAGTCAGGATCCTAAAGCTTCCCAACTGTTCTAGCTCATATCAATACCGTCACTGTGGCTGCTTTCCAAGGATAGAGCTTCACTTTATAACTTAAAAGAGCCAAAGGTGTGCATAAGCATGGCAAACTGCGTTACCCATCCATGCAGGAGTAAAGGCATAACAAGTGTGCTTGATCTTCCAAAGACCCTTTTGTAAAATGTTCCTCATTTATGGGATGGCTGTTTACTGCAGGGAGGAAGGCAGGCACAGCAGCTGCATAAACTAGAACTGGATGTCAAGATAATTTCTACCAAAGGCCAGAAGTACAATAGATCTTTGGGAATAGCACCCTCAGAGGGGGGATTGATGCTCATGCCAAACAGCAAACACTTACTATTTGCTCAGCTTGTCTGAATGGCTTCCTTGTTGCACTTGATCTCTTCTTTTCCACAGACAGAAAGTAACAGATAACGCGTCAGATTAGTGTCACCCGTTTGACAGAAATGTTCCCTACATGTAAGAGCTGTGAGCAGTGTCTCCAACAAGGAGATTAGGTCCGAAAAACAACGAGTGTAACCTTAGTTAGTAACCCTCTCCCATCTGACAAGTGATGCAATAACAAGGTGTAACCAGAGGAGACTTTGATGATTATAGCACTCCTATTGTTCCATTGAATAGTCTAGTAGCTGAATGTCTTGGAGTAGAACCCCAAGGGAATTCTCTGGGGTCACCAGGAGTCTTATTAGACAAAACAATGATTCACAATTACAGGTATAACAGTCATCAGTTACATACAGTAACCCTTTGAGACAGGAGCACTTGGTGGAAGCATTTAATGCACAGATACATCAAACAGGAGTTCACTTTGTATGGGTCCAAAATTCACCATTGTAGGCATTTTATTCTTTATCTAGGCAACAGTACACCCATGTTCATCCTGACCCTTTTTTGTCAAAGTTCATGCCTGAACATTTTCTTCACTTGTGAATGAAAAAAACATCAATGAGCAAGAACATCGCATTTTCCTAACTCTTTATTGTCTGGAAGTGTGTTCACCTCTGAAGAATATAAATCCAAGGGAATGTAAACAATACTAATATGACAAAAAATGGAAAGACTCCCAAATATCATTTCCAGCAGTGTTGAACTGAGCATCTATCACCCAGCCCCGGGACTCCTATCAGTGTCTGCATTCACTAGCTTCCCATCACAGATACAGTTCAAGATCCTGGTACTCACCTTCAAAGCCCTCTATGGCCTTGCTCCCCTCCTACTTCTGCGACCTCGTAACCCACGACCATCCTGCTAGCTCCCTCTGCTCAGCAGGCTCCGGCCTGCTCCACGTCCGCCGCCCCACCATTGGCGGGCGAGCCTTCAGCCACTCTGCCTCCACCATCTGGAACTCGATCCCGCAGTCCCTCCACCTTACCCCCTCCCTTGCCTCCTTCAAGACCAGTCTCAAGACCCTCCTCTTCAATCGATCACCCTCCCCACCCACTGCCCTCCACTGTCGCCGATCCCGACCCTCAGCTCGGGTCCAAAACACTGACTATCCAGCGCCTTGGGACATCCTCCCGACATGAAAGGCACTATACAAATGTCATTTTGTTGTTGTTTGGACTTGCAGCTTGATTGCTTTGGCATGACTGCTGGCTTGCACTGGCACCTCCGGCCTGGGCTTCATTCCAATGACAGTGTTGCACTGTGTTTACTGCCCATTGTAGAACCAAGCTGACTGACGCACTTTCTGATTCTTATGGAAGCAGTAAAAAAGACTGTTGGGCCATCTTCAATCGGTCAACACATCAGTGTAGTCAACAAATGTGCACCAGCCAATTCTGAATGTCTTCTCACAGCCCTTACCAGGCACATATATCCGAACAAGGTTCATTGCAGCTTACCTCCAGCCAACTATTCCACTGCCAAGAACGTAATTTGCAACCTTTCGGAAAACTTAGAATGAATGTTACGTACAAGCATTGAGACTCTTCTGCAAGTATTGAAATCAATCACTTCAACTATCTGCGGATGAGTGGTGAAGCCATTTTAGTATTATTGTATAATACTAATATGCAATAATATATGGACCAGTTGCCATCCTGAACCTTTATTGAATATTAGTATAATTATACAATACAAAATGGTTTAGTTGTGTTCCTGGGCCCTGAAAGATTTCACACAACTTAGTAACAGTTGCCATATTACTTTCAACTTGCATTGATGAAACTGGGGAATGTTCAAATAATAGCAAAAAAAGATTGGAACATGAGGACCAATTTGCAAAGATGTTGATTTTTGTTTGGAAAAAAATAAGATAAAATTCAAGCCTGAACAATGCTAAGATATAGATAATATGAGCAAGTTATTTAAGATTGACATATAAGCACATAATTAAATAAAAGAAAATTATACAATATATATTGTTTATTATTATAAAATTAAATAAGCATTAAAAAAAAGAAATTGGACTTTTTCCTTTTAATGGAGTGCTTACATGAATTACTCTGAGCTTAAAACAGTAAATGTTGCATTAATCAATGGCTTAAAATAAAAGCTGCATGTTTATAATGGTTAGGAGCGTAATTGAAGATTAGAGATCAGTTTGGACAGATGATCTAATACTCCCAAGGAACACAATGTACTGTTAGGCCCTGACACAAGATCACACAACTTAACATGAGAAGGGGAGAAAGCTGGTGGTGAAATTGATGTATGCCATAATCGGAAAAGTACAAAAAGAAACATCTTCGAATGCTTTTTAATTCAACATGTTCATAAGAATTCAATTGTTATTATTCTTTTGGAAAGGTTTTAGAAATTGAGTTACTAATTGGAAAAGCCAAACAGACGTATTTGCCTGATCTATTAAATACCCTCATCTCAAATGGTCAACTTTCAATCCTTTTACTACCTCCTCCATAATTTCCTGCCCGATTGTTTTATGAATTATTCAATTCACATCCTCCAGAAAAGTTTTTTGGTCATTGCACCTACTAATTAATCATTCAGTATTATTCATGATACATTTGTAGATCACTGTGTCAAATGTTTCAGAACAGAAGTTAAAAAAAAACATTGATTTAGGAGCATTTTCTCAAGATAAGAGTAAATAAACTCCTCATAGTTGCACTCAAAAGAATTGCAGCTTATCAAGACTTGAAAATCCATTATACACTCTGGGGGGTAACATAACAACTTGCATTTATGTAGTGCCTTTCACGCGAATGAACATCTTGAAGCACTTAATGATGACAGGAAGAACCGAGCAGAAGTGGTGGGGATGTTATCTCGGATTGTCACCTTATCCTCAGATTGACGTGAAAGCTATGGTAGTGAATGTCGTGCTTTGCCACTTTTGAGTCATCAAGACTTCACTCTCTTCCGGTACATTTTGCTAGATGCTGGATTATGGCATTAAAAAGCAAATGTGTCAACTTACTAATGGTATGTCAATGTGTGTGTGTGGTGTGTGTATATATTATATAGAGAAAGAGGGAAAGAAAGCATTTTAGTACTAGGAAAAACAATCTCCCAAGAAAGTTACAAATTAAAAAGGAGTCATCACTTTTTATTTATCAAGTCAGCAAACAAAATACCAGGAAGTACAGTATTTACAGGTCATCCTAGAAACTAAACAGCATCATTTAGAAGCTGCGCTATCAAAATAGAGAGGAAGGCCAATCAATCAATTTTGGTAATGTTTACAGAGTTCATGTCCTCACCCTTACAGTTGGTTTTAAAATTACAAGAGAGACTTCCAACATATGTCTAACAGTCAACTTCAAAGTATTTCAGATAACAAAAATATTTAAAGGAGCTTCCTAAGCTACAATGTAGACAAAAGGAGGAACACAATATACATGTAATCTGCAATATCCCTGTCTTTTTCACAGAAACTGCTCTGATTTTGTCCCTGTTTTCAACATGAAAATAGGTGGTTAATGAACTATTTCAAGAAACAGATATTCTTTGCTGTTCTATGAAAGCGTCATTTGTAAAATACCTTGATCACAATACAAATGTATCTGATAACGTGAACGTCTGAATCTGGACTGAAACTCTGAACAAATACTTTTTTAAAAAAAAGTAATTCATTCAGCAAGAGGTTTGACAACCCTTATAGTTAAAGAGTACACAAAATGTAAACTTGGCAAACAAAACCGAACATATGGAATTTTTTTTTACTCATAAAAGTAGTCTCACTACAACATTGTATGCACACCTGGCCGTGGATGTGCAGGAAAAAACTCTACACAGTTTATGAACAGGTATTACTAATACAGAATGAACATTCAGTAAAGATTAATGCTGAGGTACTGGAAATTATGATCGCTTTTGCACCAAATTATCCTACATTAACAGTAATCATTGTTAGGAACACTTCTAATCTTCTGTACAAACATCAAGTCTTTTTTAAAAAACATTTTTTTTTAATTTATTTTTAAAAAATTACCACTTGCATTAGTGCACGGAAACAAAAAAAAATGTTTCTTCAGTACAGTAACATTTGTTCAGTACTGTACAACACTCAGAAAAGTGGTGGTGCTACAAGTAACCTGGATCTGACAGTTTCAGTAATAAGAGCCCGAAGTGAAGTCCTTTATTCAAGATGCTGACCCCCTGACCACACACGCCCCCCTCACCCCCCCCACCCGGTAACATTATTACCAGGTATCCATAGTGCTGTTCCTATATTTTTGAGCAAATATAGGAGTTGCTTATACAGGTGTTGCTTTTACATTCCCAGTAATACTTAACTCATGACAAATACATTTGAGGTTATAACTGGGTGGGTAGATTTGGTGGACGGGCTTCGAGCAGTTATAACCCACAATATACCCACAAGTCAAACTGACTCTTCAAAATGGCTCTTTCACTTGGGACCGAATCAATTGCGCATCTTGAACTCAACAAGTTATAGGATACAATATAGCAGCTTGCAAACAATTCCGTCAGAACATAAAACTCACTGAGTCAGAGGTCGCTTGATCATTCAGCTCCCAGGAACCATTTTATATGCACCAGCAGACTGGTAGCTGTGTTAAGAGTAACATTTGGGGTATTTTTTTTTATTTGGTTTTCAATGCACTTAGTCAAAGTCTATTTTTTAAAAAAAAAGCACTATGAAACATTCCTTCAATGAATGCCACAGTCGCTATAATGAAGTAGTGACATCCCCACAAGATCATACTTGTTTCTTGATCATACAAGTTTTTAAAAAAAGAAAACTCACTGGATAAATGATATTCCACAGTATTTTACACAGTTCACTTGAATACATCAAATGAGGGAGGGGAAAAAACCCAAAAGGCTCCCAAAGGTGGTTCAGTGGGGAATTGCACCACATGGTATGGTACTAAACTATATTAGACCAGGAAGGTCCCAGGTTCAATCCCTGCTGAGTTAGTTGATGTATAATTAGCTTCAATATCTCCAGGCTAGAAAGGGGTGACTATCAGCCAAGGTTTCCCTCTCTTGTTTGTTCTCCAGTGACCCTGTTGAGAGAGACTGAATATTGAGTGAGAGATAGAATTGGGCCCAGTTGTGATGCTTCCCCCTAATACTCTACCAAAATGCACTGTTTTGGCTCGCTCATGAAGAATGGTCAATGGGGAAAGGTATTGGAAGGCTGCCTGCATCTGCAGAACTGTACCCGAGCAGGAGTCACTGTGTTCAGGAGATGGTAAAGAATTGGAGGCAAGGGAAGGGAATGGGGAAAGGAGCAAGGACAGAAAAAACTTTTCACAATCTTCAAGTAAACCAGCACAGCTCAGTCATCATTTTTGGTCTCAGTGTTTGGATCCTGGGGGTCGTCCTTCACTACAGCTGTAATGCTTGAGCTGGCTGCTGGGTCTCTTGGAGAAATTCCAGCCACCAACTTGTCATCAGAATCTGTTTGCTTTACAGTTGCTGGAAGCGCAAAGCTGTCTTCACTGATATTCTCTGCTGCCTGATTCTTTTCATGGTCTTGATGGCTGTTCTCACTTAACGCCCTATATTTGAAAGCAAACATTTTTGGCTGTGTGAAACTTTGCAATAAAAAGGTAGATTAAGTGTGAATTGTTTTCGTTCATGCTGAGGTGCGGGGAAACGATTGTTTGCTGAGTATTTTTGTTAGCTGCATTGAACGCCTCTTACATGCTGTGCCTCTGGATATGACGCTCCCAGTCAGAGCCATGCGCAAACGTGCGACCACAAAATTCGCAGGGGAACCTCTTCTCATTGTAAACACGGTTTCCACTCCCTGGACATGTCACAATACCTGCAAGTAAAAAGGATTTTTTTCTTAACCAAAAATAAACCATCAATACAACAATTTAGACAAACGGACACTAAATGAGGCATTCTGATCGCCTGGTGGAAACCAAACAAAGAATTTAAATAAATATCTTTTGTTACAATAAAGGAAAACTGAATGTTCGTGCATACACCAGGCTTCTCAGACACTAGCACAGGTTTCATTCTCAGAGTTGGTAAATGAGAGCTTGCATCAAGGACCATTGATTTACCTTTGATGTACTGTACATGACAGCATGAAGCTGGAACACACGTCCCATTGCACTGACAACTTAAAGGTTCTCTCTTGCCAAGCACATCTATTCAGGAGGAGTGAAGAAATTGCTGACTGTAATTGAAATGGCATGACTCCCACACGCAACATGGTGGTGGGTACTCTTGAGGATAGCGCTAAATTTCCACCGTTTAACTGCCATACACAAGCTCATCTGTTGCATTCTGAGACACCCGATAGGATTGCTGTTGGCAGGCAACAAGACATGTTTGGTGTCAAAGTAGTTTCTCTTCACAACTCCTCTCTCGTGGAACACTGAGAGCATGTTACAAAAAACCTCAGGAGGAGTTGTGGAGCAAAAGCTTCCAACAAATCACTCTGAAAAGTACCAACCTCTTTGTTCAACTATATTCCCTTTTTCTTCCTCACGGGATTCCTCTTCACTGCTCGAGAACTCCTTCTCTTTCGAGTCCAACTGGTCCAAGTTGACACGACCGACCAATTCAAAGTTACGAACCACCTGAGGTCGGGGGCCGGGGTGGGGGGGTAGAGGGAGAGAGAGGGGAAGAGGAAAAAAAGAAAGTCAAATTCAGCACATATTTTCATTTTTATTCACATATAATACTACTAATAATAATTCAGCACCTTGGGACATCCTTCCGACGTGAAAGGCGCTATACAAATGTAATCTTTTTGCTGTACTACTAATAATAAAATAATAATACTTCAGAGCAAGCTTCTGAATATATATTTGTTTAAATCTGAGTCTCTTGGGACGTCCTCCTGACGTGAAAGGCGCTTTATAAATGGAATCTTGTTGTTGTTGTTGTCGTTCCTTCCCCACCGCCCGCTCCAGGGTTGGGGAAGGGGTGGGTGAGGAATTTGACTGCAATATTAAGATAACCATTCATCCCAAGATGTCATCTGATTTTGAAGGTGCTTTTAGTTAGTAAAAAAGTGCATTAGTTTCAAATAAATACAGTAGCTCTTTAATTTTTTAAAGGCAAACTTTGTGTTAGACATTATTCTTTTATGTTACACCACTGCCAAACATGCACTGTGACAAAACCAATTTTGCAGTAATGTGAGATTTGGCATCAGTAGTAAGACCACCTGGTATCAGGGCTCCTCCATCACTAGTGATATGATCCACACCTAAGGAATAATGTCATCATCAAGAAACTGCCTTACAGAGAACTGCACAGCATATTGGCATGCAGCAGTCATTTGTACAAAGTAAGATTCAACAAGCAGCTAACAGGTGAATGACCAATTCTGGAGGATTGTTAGCTCGGGGAAACTCCCATTGCATTTCAAACAATGTTATAGAAGTTTTAACATCCCCTGAATAACAGGAATGTGATTTAACATCTCATCCAACAACAACAAAATTACATTTGTATAGCGCCTTTCACATCGGAAAGACGTCCCAAGGCGCTGGAAACAGATTGCACCTGCAAGAATCCAGTAATTCACTATCCTGGTGTTAGCATAGACTGTGAGTGCAAGTCTCCAACATGGTTCTTGAAACAACTTTTCTGACTCCGAGGCAAAAGTGCTACCAACTGGGCAAGCTGAGAGGATCCCTTTTTGGAAGTAGTACCCGTATATAAAAAAAGCTTGTTTTGACCAATAACCTTTCCATAATCAGACATTCCAATATCAGAAGTACATCGACTATAACTTGATCTCACTTTACAGATACAACAAGTTCAATGTTAGCTGCATCAAAATGGGAAGAGCTACTTTGTCCAGAATGTAGGAGCCCTATCACACCTCAACATCACTCATCTCTTGACACTTTGTGATTGTGCAAAGGATGAATAACCTAAGTTGAACAGCAATGTACAACTGAATGAACCATCATCAAAATGGAGGAATTAACATACTTGGGACATTGCCCTTTAGAAATCTAAAGCTTGAATCAAAGCCATAAAAATCATGTGTTCCTCTCCCTGCGTGCACCCAAACGCTACTGCCATCCTGTGCACCACCCTTCTGCTTATCAATATGAATGGAATGAGGTGGCAGCAGATACCAAATAGTGCACCCAGCGGTTAAATACGCACGACATTAGGATGTTCCAAGTTCACCAGGTCAATCACCCAACAGACAGGTAGAACGGAATGGAGCGGGAGAGGTGGGGGGGGCAGCTTTGCAAATAGAAACTGAACCACCCTTCAAAAAAAGTGAGGAAGACAATATCTATGGTGAGTAATTCAATATTCTCTCATTCATTCAAATCTGCAAGTACCCTTGAACTACGCCAAAATAGTGAAAGCAGAAGTGATAATCTTTGACATAATATGGAGCCTAGCTTTGAGCACAGCAGCGCTAAAGTGCTCGTCATTCTTGAGCTGACAGATCAGGACAATACTGCTTTGTGAAGGCATGCAAATCACCCCAGTAGATTCTATGCAAAAAGCGACGAAGCAGACCCTTTCATACCGGGCTGTACATGGCCACAGCATGAGACTTTTAAACTTTTCCAGGTGTTTTTTTTCCCCTAAATAAAAAAAAGGAAAGACAAAATGCATTCTTTAACCCGCCTTACAAAATGTTACTTATTGATGGTGTTCCGAATGTTTTGTCACCAACAACAAAGCATCTGCACAAATTGGTGAATGCCTTTGGTTCTCTGTACAAGGATCAGTGTTCCAACAAAATTATACTTCCTTTCGAAGGAAGAAGCGTATCTTGGCTGCTAACCTTTTGGCATTGTTATTTTTTGAACTAAGTTAAAAGAGACAAACTTGGGCATACGTGTCAGATGCAGCCTTAGGACTATATCTGAATGACAAACATAAGGTGGATCTACTTGCCAAAGCATGAAGCATGCACGGCAAAAGACCAAGCAAAGCTACAGAAAAGAAATCCTAAGAAAATAAGAAACTAAAGGATTACAGACTGATGATATACAAGACAGGATTGAAATCGCAGGTAGGTGTGACTAGCCATTGATATGGGCTTGTTTCAAGTGCCCTTCAGGAAGCTGGGCAGAACTGGATCTTTATTAATTGAATTGCATGCCAGAGGCTAGGGATAGGCTGCAACAGCTGCCATGTAAACCTTTAATGCGCTTGCTGATCTCTCCGAATCAGTAAGTGCTCAAGTGAGGCTAGCCAGAATGTTACACCCCAGAGGGTTTGCATGTGTCATCCAAACCGTATGATAGACCTTTTCAGAACATTGAGCACAATCTCCACAACTGAAAGAGACTTAATTTGATCCCATTAGGCTGGCTTCTCAAGAAGCAAGCTGCCAAATGGAGAGAGGCTGAGGAGCACTGTCTCATACCTGCTGCACTCATCATAGGCTTGATAACCAAGTGTTTCATCGGGATTAATATAGTTTTTTTTCCATCAGGATCTTGTGAATGAACTATCCTTGGTATGAGAGAAACAGTAGAAAGTCAAAAAGAAAATTTGATATGTGTCAAAATCTCAAATAGTTTATCTATTAAACCTGCCCTTGCTCATGGGGCCTGCTGTGATAACTGTATCCATGTCAAAAAGTGAGCAGAGAGAATGGCAAGGTTCTGATGACACCAATGTTATAGAAGCCTAGTGAGATACATGCAAAAATGAGTCCCAAATTTGTGCAGTTTTGCAATCTAGTCGCTACTGTGCAATCAGTTTTGCAATCAGTTCGCCATAACTTGATCAACTGGATTATGGCAATCCCTTCAGGAGCTTTCTGCAACAATATAGTGGCTTTGCAATAAGTCTTGTGATACGATTTGTAACATCAGCTACAAACTCTTTGCAGTGTTGACCTCGGTTCTGCTATCCTGTCTTCAAAGCACTTCATTGGAGTTGTACAGTCCTGAAGTGGTTTAATAGCAATAATATTTCCCAGAACTATCCAAAAATAGACATCCTGGAAGGGCAGCTACTACTACAAAGTTTCTCTTAATGTACAAAGCCCAACTTCCTAGTAAGTTCAGAATTAGCTAATTCTTACAGTGTCTTTAGGGTATTTGGATGAACTAAATGATATAGTTGTGAAGGCTTCAGTCAGAGCAGGCTGGCACAGATAAAACCGTTTTAAATAATCTGGGTGCTGATCTACAGCCATAACAGAAGAACTTTGTATTAGTTTGCAACCTCCAATTGAGCTTCAAGTATTTTGTCCAAAATGTTGTCAGTGCTCCAGATGTATTTCTCAGCAATATTATTGTGTTGACCTTTGCCTTCTTTGGTCAGCTGGGCATCTAACACATACGGAAACTCATGACTGTGCTTATAAACAAGGGGGAATTCACATATGCAAACCCACCACGCATAGAAATTTTCCTGTGTCTGGAATGAGTGCATACTTTCTCCCTGGAGGGATACATCACTTGTCAGTTCCTGTGAATATTGGGCGCACAGCCATGGTGATAAAATTCATGACTCCCAGATACAGAAGCGTAGATTGAACTCCCACTTGGAGATAAAATAGCAAGAGTTGATTGCTCCTCCAGATTTTCTTTCTTTAAGGAAACCTTCTCTAACTTGCAGTTTTTTCATATTTATAAATAATCCTTGTCGAGATGTTTCAAAGTGATTCCCTATGTTTTTGTTCCAGCATCAAGCTGCTTTTTAAATGCGCCCACTGTGCTGGCATCACCCTCTATTCCTGGCAACTTGTTCCAGTTGCTGATTAATGTCGCTATAAAGAAAAGCTTTGTGGTGTTTGTCTGAATGTTGCCTGAATGTGGGGTGCATTACCACAAATGGTCTTTAAAATATTTTAAAAGGTACAGGGAAAGAGATTGGAGTATATATTCCAGTGAGGGAAACTAGCACTAACATAGATAAGATGCGCTGAATGGCCAATTCGGCACTATAACATTTCTTGATTTTTTCTAAGCATAATTACAATAAACTCATGATAACTCATCACTCCAAGGGAAAGGGCTCAGTGATGAGTTATCCAGAGTGACAACTTAGGCATACGTACAAATACACAAATAAATGCAGCTAGGATAATGACAGCATGATGATTTAAGTGGCAGTGACAAGTTAAGTCAGCTTCAAGTTACCAGGAGTTTACTCTATATACTTTGAATGAAAAAAACCTAAAAATAAAAACTCACCTGCAATTAAGGCTGTACATTTTTACACTTAGTCATCATTACCCTACTGTCACAACTCTGACAGCAATTAACCTGCATTGGTATAGGGAGACAGAACATTACACTCAACAACGGAACTACCAATGGAATGGGTTGATGGATGGATTATGGAAAAAAAACGAAAGATGAGGTCTATAGTAAGAGCATCGTTAAAATTACTTTGTGTTCGTCCTGAAGGTGATTCTCAAGATCATCTTTTATTCTGCTCTCATAGTAGCACAGTTGGCACTTGAATGGTTTCAGTTCCTTGTGCTTCTCCATGTGTATCTGCAGATTCTCGTCACTGGAGCATGTGAAGGTGCACTTGTCGCAACGAAACACTATCCCCTGCAAGTGTCGGGAGATCTTGGAACGGCGGACTTCAATGGGGACAACTCTCTCCTCTGCAGAAAGAAAGGCGGTGATCAAGATATGGGGCTGAACAGCTTTGAACTCACTCAATATAATTCAGTGGATACAGAACTAATTTGGTAATATTTCACTAAGAGTAGATTCCCTGAAGAGAATGGCTGGTGTAAGACTGATATCTTGAATTAGTTTTGCCTGAAGTCAGCAATTAGACACACAAATTACAAAAATGGGAGTGCAATAGAGCTCTGTTTACCCACGAGGCAACTATCTGCATGCCCACTTATCTGCAATGGGGTCGGATACGAAATGTCCAATATCCACAAACAATTAATTGAGTGTGTTTGAAGTTGCCACATTACCAGTACATTGAGAGTAAATTGCACCCCTAGTAATCCCACACGCAACTCTGTGCATACAGATAACATGATTAATTTTGCTGGCAGCATGAAGGTAAATGTTTATAGTTTTGTACAGTGTAGGGTTAGAGTCAGAGAAAGGGATAAACATGGGTATAGAGATAAAGAAAACCTTAGAGAGAGACTCAGAAAGAGAGGGAGGGTAGGGTTGGTACAGTGTGTTACTGTTGTGGCAATATAAATCCCGATGGTAGAATTTTTTGAGTTAGCACTACAGCCAATTTGTATTTCATCTAATGTAGTTATCTGCACTGTTTTCTTCTTCACAATGAGGCAGATCCCAAATAATGCAGGCAATTCCAATTTGGCTAACTGGTAAACCTATTGTTGTGAAATGTAGGCAGAAATGTCACAAAATACGCAATGTATTCCTTGTAGACCCACAATCCACTGGAAACTTTATTACATCACCCTACTTCAGAATCTGAAGAGGCTCTACATAATAATAATAATCATCCTTACAATTGATATAGCGTTTTATCACGTAGTTAAAATGTGTCAAAGAATATATTGTAAAGTGGATTGACTGTATTTTGTGGGCAAAAGCCCGTGAAAGACTGTATTTTGTAATCTGCAGACCAGACCTTACAAAGATTCTTAATAAAATATAAAGCCAACATCTGACTGGTTGAAAATGATTGAAGATCCTAGGAATGAAAGATGTGAGGCAGTCAGAATGGAAAAACATCCATACAAGTTTTCTGTTCTCTCCAGTCGTGCAGCATTATCAGTGTTAGTGTTCAGCTTTTAGTACTGCTTTTTGAAGTATCATATATCCTGGCACAAGGATTTCTCACCTCTGTGAAGAACAATATGATCAATCATGCTACTTTTGTATTTTGTGTGGTACAGGCAGAGGGGGCAACGGAGATCCTTAGGACCTTCAACAGGAGGAGCTGTGTGACTCCCTTCAACATGCATAGAAAATGTAGACCTGCAAATACATAAGGGAGAGAAAAAAAACGTGTCACTGAGTGTAGACCTCAGAATGAGAGATCTGTCCCTTCATCGCACAGCAACAAACTCAAGAGCTATGTGACAGATTGCAGCTTTATATAAATATCTGCGGTCAACAGGAATAGATTTAGACTGGCATGGAGTGTAGATTTTTGCTGAACGTAAAAGGTTATATTTCAGTAAGAGCTTAGCAATTGATTAAAACCTGCCCCATTTGTGCAGATGGACAATGCAAATTATGTAACCAAATGACCTATTTACATAAAGTTAAAATTCGCAAATCCATTGATCATGTGGAATTAATCCTCTTAGTTCACACGATGCATCAATTTTTGTTCCAGAACTGATGATTTCTTGTAGAATAAATGTAACGTAATTGCATAGAATAAACATGGATCGTAGTCTTCTTCCCTCCTCAATTACAACACTGGGCTGGGGTACAGTACAGAACCTCATCCAAGTCACTCGTTTCCACACTAGGCAATGGCTCACTGGGGAATCTCTACGATTTTTTTCCTTTTAAACAAAAAATTGCCGGGATAAAACCCTGGAACCCAAAGTGAAGTGAAACCTGCAATTTGGTAATGTGTTTCTTGAGTTCAAGATCCTCGTCCTTACCTTTAAATCCCACCCCAGTCTATTCCACCTTTCTCAAACCCTGCTGACCCGGCTGCTCACGTTTCACATACCTCGGGCCACCTGCCATACTCTTGGTGGTTGGGCTTTCAGCGTGTCTGCCCCGACTCTCTGGGACTCCATCCCAAAGTCCCTTTGACTTATCCCTTCCCTCGCCTCCTTGAAGGTCTGCAAGACCTTCCTCTTTGATTGCTCTTTCGCCCACCTCCCCCGGCCAGCGCCTTGAAACGTCCTCCCGATGCGATGGGTGCTATTTCATGTAAATTTGTATTGTTTTGTTAATTAGCACCCACACCCCAAATTAAGACACACTGGATTAAGCAGCCTTTTGATATTTACGTGGTCCCTGGGTGTGCTGTAGTTGGACCCCACAAAACTCTTCTCAACATCTGTTTTTGCTAAACCGAAATATCAGAGTAAATCCCACCGACCGAAAATGCACCTGTGTGAAAGGCAGCTGCTGTGTGTGTATGTGGGGGAGTGGGGAAAGGGCGGGAAAGAGCCCAGCCCTGGGATCAGTCAATCTCTTAATGATCACTAATTCAGTGTTCCAAGATGCTAACTCGCATGACTGGCGCTATGTAAATACAAGTTGCTCTTGAAGTTGCTTATGTAATTTTAATGCGTATGTTAATTAGTACCATAGCTGTTAACTTCGCATCAGAATATCCCAATTTGTCACCCAATAAAAGTAATAATCCTGGCCTTGATGTAGCCCCTTATCTGATCGGGAGGACCCCTGAAAGCACTTCATGGGATTTATTGTAAAGTGGAGTGACTGTGTGTTTGTAGGCAAATGCAGCAGCCAGTTAGCACATAGCAATGTCCTGCAAACAACCATGAAATGAATGGGCAATTTTATCTTGGGGATCATTGGCCAGGACATGGGAGAATCCTATCAATTACATTTTATGCAAATCAGGAATACAATTATCCTAATATATATATATTTTTTGAATGCTTGACTAACGAGTACCATTCACTAAATAGCCTTACCCCACCCCCATCCCACCTTGGGCTTAGAATGGTTCATCTCAGCCACAGAATAATTTCAAAAATTTCAAAGACACCTGTTCAGGAGTATCCTTTTAAGAAATAACTAACATTTTTAAAGTTATACACCACATTCTACCAACTTACTTTATTAAAGAGCAATTTTTCAATTATTTTAGCTTCAGGGAATCAGAGACATGCCTGAAAATATCTAATTATCAAGTGCAATTTTATGTGTCAAAATTATAGGTCAAGCAGATTTCCGAGCGAGGTTGCAATTTAATTCTGTCAATAATTAACCCAGTAACCACCCACTGTACCACATAAATAGGGCCAAAGAGGAAACATAAATAAAGCTGGGAGGGAAAGAAAAGGCAGCCTGTGTTGCTGCCAGAGGTCAAGCGTTAGAAATTTGGCTCTTTGCCAAATGACATATGAAGGCACATGCAAGCACTCCATTACACCCAGTTTACATTGTCAGAACCCAGCATCTGTTAGAATCCACCTCAACACATAGAGTCTAGATGATCCTGAATACCAAATGCATCTGAGCGTGAAGAAACATCCCATCAGGGATAGGAGGTCACACATGGAGGAGTTCAAAGGTGCATCAATGCCAAGGCGACATGAATTGCAATCCAGCATTTCAACCCTGCCACAATTTCAATTTTGGACCATTGTCAAAGCAGGTAGCGGATCATCAAATTGCAGGCTGCAGAATTTCTGCAAGCATTAAGTGGAGAGCTGAAAGATGTATGAAGATCGTAAGTGGAAAAAAAAATCTTAGGCAAAATACACACATGTAAAAGAGGAAATTAATCAACATTTATAATAAATGTACTCCTGCGCGCAGAGAATGGCGCACAGCATTTTGTTTCCTTTCTCACTTGCCACTATACCACCATTTAGGATTATTAATGACAACACAAGACATTTACCAGGAGCTCAGAGAACATGCGCTCTGCAGGAACAAGGCTGTCGAGAGACCAGCATTGAAGGCACCTGTTAAGAGGCTGCAATATAAAACAGCATTGATGCGCTGGAATTGGCAATCGAGTGTACAAATCTGGAGGCTGGATCACACACCTCAGCCTTGCGTCAAAATAAAGTGGAAATAAGCTACATGTGAATGATGGATATTTTGGAATTCAAGTAGTTTCCAAAATTTGGTTTGCAATACTGTAAGAGGTGGCGACTAATATTTTTTCTCAACCATAAGAGTGTCTTTATCAGACTGTAACCAGACATACCAGAGAAAGTGAACATGTCTTGTAGGCCATTTGGTCTATTGCACCTGCTCTGTCCTTTTAATAGCCTAAGGCAACTCTTAACTTTTTTTTAAATCATCACCTTCTCATCCTTTCTCCATATCTCTTACTTAACAAGTACCTAGCCATCTCCCTTTAAAAACTCGTGAATCTATTCTGTAATTATAGCATTCTGGGGGCAAGATTTGTTTTTGTTTTTTAAACTGGCTTTATCTTTAAGCAGCTTAGCAACTTTTTTTCTTTAAAAAGATCATTCAAAACTGCCGAGAGCTGATGTCAGGGGTTGTCAGCCAGAGGGTACAGAACTGTATGTCCCACAACCACAAACTCAAATCTGGTTTGGCTTCACAAAGGATCTCATTTGCACTGATCAATCACTGCCCGGCGTTTCTCTTACCTGAACCCAGTAAAAAACGAGCAATCCTTGCACTTGTGCAGCTTCTTCCCACAATGCCGGTCTCGATAGTGGCGCCTCATGCTTTGAATATATTCAGAGTTAAACTGACAGAATTCACAAGTGAAGTGCCCTTTGGTTACTTGTTCAGCTGGAGCAGCAGGTGATGGCACTGGCCCAGGGCTGGAGAGGTTCCTTGCCATGGCAGCTGTCTGGTAATGGTTAAGCTGTTGCTGGACGTCCGGTGGCTCCGAATAAGAAGAATCTGCATGTGAAGAACTGTCAGTTACATGCCAACTAGATAAAACGTGAAGCTTTCTTTCACTGGAACAGCGTTTCTCTTTCCCACTAATCTGTGAATAACTATTTAAAACTCTGAGGTTTAACTTGCTTTGTACAGTCATTGCTAGTTTTACTGTGGGCGTGCATGTGGACTTATCACCCTATTGTTTGTTGTAGGAAAATAGAAACTTAGAAATCTACAGCACAGAAGGAGGCCATTTGGCCCATCGAGTCTGCATCCGCTCACACAGCAAGATCAATTTAACCCCACTGCCCCACATTATCCTCATTCCCCTTCAAGCCCCTCTCTTTCATTTGTGGACTCTAAGAGTTAAATTGCCTCCTTCTGCTCTGTAGATTTCTACGTTGTAAAATAATAACAACTGTGTAAAGCAAGTCTATGCTTCTGCAAACGTGTCAAAGATTGATGGGAAAGCAAGAAGGCTTTACTGACAATGGCAGAATTTCTATTATAAACACTAGTGGGGGGAGGGAATAATAAACAAGAACAAATGAGGGTCGAACAACCAACTGGTGATTATGCTCCTTGGGGTTGGGGGGGATGTAAGCCGGGTCTTCTTGGAACTGAACTGGATCAGTGGCTTCTTTTTGTAGTCCAGTTCCTGAGCCAGGCGGGTCTGCAGTTTTCCAGGGCGCTGATGATGACAGCACAGCACAGCCTGGCTCATCAACAGGACCTGGAAGGGCAGAGCAGTCACTGGGGACAGGGAATTATCCTACTCAGCTCCTGTTAACCCTGCAAGCCAAAGCTCTAACCGGTAGAGTGGTCCTTGCTGGACATTCAGCAGCAAGACTCACTGCACCTAAGCACACACTTTGTTAGTGTTCAAGCAGGAATTAACATTTCCCATCCATTTGGCAAATATCACAAATTAGACCCAAACGTCTTCTCCGTTCATTTAATACATTAGGCTCTGGCAGCATCAACCTCCATGGTTGCTCACTTCAACTCGCCAAGCCAGTCAGGAACCTAGGGTGTCTTGTTCAACCCTCAACTGTCTTTTCTTCCTCACATCCAAGCCATGACCCACTCTGCCTCCCCTCACCTCCGTAACATCGCCCAATCCACCACTACCTCACCCCTCAGGTCGCTGAAACTCTTGTTCACGCCTTCATCACCTCCAGGCGTCTATGCAAATGCCCTGCTTGTCAGCCTTCCCAATTCCTCCCTCCACAGGCTGCAGATAATCCAGAACTCTGCAGCCCGTGTCCCCTCCCGGACCAAACTTTGTGACCCCATCTCCCCCACGACTCCATTGGCTCCCTATCCCTCAGAGGATCCAGTTCAAGATCCTGGTCCTCACCTACAAAGCCCTCCATGGCCTCGCCCCACCTGCCCACTCCCTCCGCTCAGCCGGCTCTGGCCTGCTCCACGTCCCCTGACCCACCCACCCACCCCACCATTGGCGGGAGAGCCTTCAGCCACTCTGCCTCCAACCTCTGGCATTCCATACCCCAGTCACTCCGCCTCGCCCCCTCCTTAGCCTCCTTCAAGTCCCGCCTCAAGACCTTCCTCTTTGACCATGCCATCGGCCACCTCCCTTCCCCTCCCCTCTCCCCCCCTGACCACAGTTCGGGTCTGAAATGCTGTACACTGTCCAGTGCCTTGGGACGACCTCCCGATGTGAAAGACTCTATACAAATGTAATCTTGTTGTTATTGTAGCTACATTAGAATATACAGCACAGAAACAGGCCATTCGGCCCAACTGGTCCATCCCGGTGTGTATGCTCCACATGAGTCTCCTCCTGCCCTTCCTCAACTAAGCCTTCAAGCATAACCTTCTATTCCTTTCTCCCTCATGTACCTATCTAGTTTCCCCTTAAATACATCTTTGCTATTAGCCTCAACAACTCCTTGTGGTAACATGTTCCACATTCCCACTACTCTCCGTGTCCTGAAGAAACTTATTCTAACTTACCTATTTGATCTATTTGTGACTATTTTATATGATGCCCCCTGGTTTTGGTCTCCCCCACAAGTGGAAACATCTTCCCTGTGTCTACCCTGTCAAAACCTTTCATCATTTTAAAGATCTCTATCAGGTCACTGCTTACCCTCTTCTTTTCAAAAGAGTCCAAGCATGTTCAGCCTTTCCTGATAGATATAACCTCTCAGTTCTTAAAGCTTTAAAATGTGACATTCCTTTACCAGTGATTTGACAATTTCTAATGGTGGCCCAATCTGCAATCTCTGACCATCCAGTCATTAAATGACTGATAAATAACACAATCTATCCCAATGTTAACAATAGTGCCAATTTCTTATCCAAATTCAAATGTTATTTAAACTAAAAAGAGTAGTTCTGGATGAAATAAAGTACTCCAAAAAGAGCCCTTTTATAAAGGAATGCCTCATATTCCCTCCTCACCTCAAAATAAATGAGCTAAGAATGAATGGAGAGAACATTTTTTTAAAAAATGTGTCGCAAAATTTGGATGCTGAAGTCCCCACAGAACCAATGAGAAGAAACTTATCCCGACTTGACTGAAGTTGGGATCTCTCCACTCTGTGTTCAGAGGATTAATCTGCTGTGCTACCAATATAATTTAGACCAGACATTTCTACAGCTCAGATGGGATACAGGCAGTTGCAGCTCCAGCTAATGCATTGTAAACACAGACCACACAAATACAACTTGTATTCATATGTTGTTGCCCATCATTTTTCTCATCTAGACCACATCAAGTTCGCTTATCTTACCCAGACTAATGATTTGGAACGGGAAAAAGAGAGTTGCTACATATAATAGCCAGCGCTGCCTTGCCAGCATCCTGTGCTTAAAAAAAGACCGACTTCCAGTTTGCCAGATTATCACTGAGGCCACTTCCTGCGAATTGCATGCCTGCCTGCTATGTATAGAAAGCACTACTAAGGGTGCTGCCTGCACCCCTCAAGTGCAGCGGAAGCTCCACTGATGTCACTTAGGCAGAGGTTAACCTGCAGCGATGAAGCAACATCATGAAGCAATGTCAACAGTCACCTGACGACCAAGAAGTCGGCTATTTTATCATCACGACAATGGAACCAAGATGGCAACGTTTCCCTTTACTTTGATGTGGTAAACTGTCCATACAATTTGTTCATTTCTATATCTAGCACTACTGCATTATTGATAACCTGCGGAGGAAAGTCTTGAAACATCGCCAATGCTGGTTTCTGATGAAGGTAGATGTTTAAGGGCATATGATTCAGAACATGGACAACAGTAACCACTATTCATCGTCAACATTCAGCTATGTTCTATAAAAATCTATGACAAAACATTTACTTTTAATTTTTGCACAACACTAATTGCTTTCCTGATCATAAACTCGGTACCGCAGTAAACATTAACAGGCTGGTCGCCCTTTTAATTAGTAATTATTAATATAAATAACTTTAAACTAGAACAATTAGGTTCAGTTCTTTTTGGTGCTCGTTATTCCTTTACAGTTAAAAAGATGTAGTAGTCCTATCACTAGTGAACATAAAGTGGGTTTATAATAATCCTTGCATTTGATATAGCGCCTTATCAAGTCGCTGAGACATTTCAAAATGCTTCTCAAAATATACGGCAAAGTAAATTGACTATATTTCGTGGGTGAAACAGGGCAGCCAATTGCGCACAGCAGTGTCTCACAAGCAGTGGTGGATTGAGTGACCAAATTATTATTATTTATTTATTTTGAAGGGATTATTACCCTTGAAAAGCAATCCATCAATCGACTAGCAACCAGGTTCCTACTTACTGCTAGGTAAACAGAGGTGTGTGGAATTAGGAAACTTACCCAAGGTTTGGTCCTGCCTGGGAATCGAACCCAGGTCCTCTTGCTTTTGAGGCAAGTGGTCAAACCAGTACGCTACAGGACTCTACGAATTTTATTTAATGGGGTAGAAGCAAGCACTTGGAGACACAACAGAAACATCAATAACATCTCAACGCCGGGGAAAGAGCTTTGGGACTTCAACTGCATCTCTGGCAGTGATCCCCATACATGTCACTCTGACCAGCGAGTCCTCAGCTCCAAGTAACCTTGGGTCAGAGCCAAGGTACAAGTGGGTCAGTGGAATATGTACAGACTTCTCTGCACATGGTGTAATTTATGTCTCAAGGTGCTTGTTTCAGAGCCAGAAGCAATTTACACTATGCACCCCTCCGACTGTTGAGTGTTATTTCAGCCCCCTCTGAATTGTTCATTTAAAAAAACGAGCTTTTCATTCACATCTTTCCGATGCTGATTACAGTTGAAGGCATTTAAAAAGAATACGATTGCATACATCAGAGATAGCCATGAGAAGCTTACCATCTGATTCCGCTATTTCTTCAGCATGGGTCTCTCTCTGTGGTTCACCGTCTGCAGACGTAGAGGCTGCTGGAGGGTCAGTGTGCCGTTTGGATACTGGCAGGATGTGGCCATGCACTTTCAGATAATGCTGTTTCAGCTGGCTTACCATCATTGTGGTATGGGAACAGAAGGAACACTTGTAGCTATGCTCCACTGGTAAAACACAACACATTTTGAACATGTTGGCTAAGCTTACCATAATATTCCATTTGAGATTAGTGGACAATTGCAAATGACGAGTGGTCGGGAGTCAATTCTGCATGTGGCATGGCTATGTGTGATATAGAACAGCCATTTCACTTTTTAAATGCCTTCACATAACTTCATTACCCAATGGCCAAATTAAGTGTAAGGTACATCATCATTACACACTGGAAGAAATACAATTTAGAAGTGTAGGTTTCTTTCATCTCTATACTGAAATGATCCTTATTTCTGGAAAAATATTGTCAGCTCCTATTGACTCTGTCCCCCAAGACCCAATAGATTTAAATCATGTATTTATTATTACAAAATATCACATTGGACACTCGGGTTCCCCTTCTCAAGAGTAAATTACTAGCTTAACTATTGATGGATTTACTTTCTTATCCAATTTACAAGTTAATCTTCTATCCACTATAGAATTGACTGATTGACACCTCAAATGTTACAAAGCTGTAGATGAGTTTAAGAAAACACTCCCAGTCAACTTCACTGTGTTGTCATTTGAGAATCTGCAAGGTTTTATCATGTCTACTATAAGTTTTGTTGGCCCTATACCTTTAATGAAATGGGGGACAACAATTGCTATAATTTCTTCACAGGTCACCTAAATGGATCAAGAATTCTTCAAGTGTCAGTGTAAATAACTCAGCTAACTAATCAAGGTCCCTTTTTCCTCTTACAAAGCATGCAGGCAAGCAATAAATAAACTTTGCTGTTCTGTTCTACATCAGGAAAGTTAGACCATGTTGTTTTTGCTGTTATACGATAGTGAAATGAATGCACAATGTAATAGCTTTATGGGTTTCTCCAGTTTTCCGACCATTAACATTTTTAGATTTGGAAATCAATTTTTACTGTGATATATCAAGAGCTCTTTCTAATCTGTTGCCACCGCATCCACAACCTCAAACTCAATCAGGATTCTCATGACCTGAATTAACTTATTCCACTGAGAATTCCTTCATCTAGTTTTATATCCGGTACGATACGCACTCTGGACCCATATGCATATCCCATCTAGAGGGGCCAGTGCATTGCGGCACAGTAAACTCAGTTTTGTGCACATCAAATAAAAAACAGTTGCGTTCTATTTGTTTCCGAAAGCTAGAGAATTTATAGAGAGGGTAAGCACGCATGCAATAGAACTTCGGTGTTGCTCTTATGCATTTATTTCTACATGATGAACTATGGCAAACTTAACTCGTGCTATTTTGAGTTAATAACAGGGTGAAACAATATCCTCAAATCTCTTTGTGAATCTTTAACACCAAGCTCTACTAAATTTGCTGGTGAAGGGGAAGAAAAAGGGGAACTCAGCCACCCAGTGTCAACATCCATTGACACCATTTGGAGTATGTGGACGTTGGACAAGAACAGCGTTGGGCTCGGTTGCAGAGGCCAAAATAAACCTTGTATGCTCTTTGTCAAAACTCATACATGCAGATATAGGTCATTGGGCAATGCACCAGAGGAGTCATGCACACATAGGATTCTATCCAAGTAGAAGGAAAAAGGGAGTCGAACAGCATGAAGGGGGATAAAATTACTTGCATCTGACATAACACCTTTCACAGCAGGAGGATGTCACAAAGCGCTTCACAGGATTTACTGTAAAGTGCAGTGACTGTATATTTTGTAGGCCAAGGGTAGCACATAAAGCAAAGTAACAGGAAAATGGCATCCAAGCTCATAATAAATATATTATATAAACACAAGCCAGTTTCATAAAATCTTCTTGCTAGGGATGAGATGTTTAATGGAGATGTATAAAATTATAAAAAGGGTTTGATAAGGTTGGCATAAATAGTCTGTTTCCACTGGTTGGGGAGTCTATAACTAGGGGACACAAGTATAAGATAGAGACTAGGGGATCTAAGGATCTAGAGAATTTAGGAGGAAGTATTTCACAAGAAGGGTAGAGAGAGAACTCACTGCCTGAAGCAGTGTTGAATCAAATAGCAAAAATGCATTCAAGAGGAAGCTTCACATGAGGGAGAGGGGAAGAGAAGGGTGTGGGAAGATGTAAGGAATAGGGGAAGACTGGTGTAGCGTATAAAAACCGGGCCTGTTTCTATGCTGTACATTCTTTGAATCAGCAAGAAAATCAGAACAACCGGGCCTTTTTTTGTTTGCTCAGTCTTGGGAGTAACATTTATGGCCCACCCCCAATTGCCTGAGAAAGTGGTAGTGGGCTGTCTCTTTAAACTGCTCACCTTGATAATACATCCAGGATATTGTTTGGTAGGAAACTCGCTAAATTAATCAAAATTAATCAAGCCAATTTTATAAATAACTTGCTTCCTACCAATGTACTTAAAAGGTGCTAGTACACATTGTTATTCATCACTGGAGGATATTTTTCACAATTATTTAGGTTATATTACAGAACTGCATTAAGTGTAATAAGTATTTTGCTGAGTTAGCTGATCCCTCATTTGTATACCAAGGTTGATGCTGTAATGGGAAGAAAGTAGGGTGTGAATTCTGAAAGAATAATACTTAAATTTGACATAGCGCTTTATTACGTTGTTGAGACGTCTGAAAGCGCTTCGCAGAATATACTATAAAACGGATTGACTGTATTTTGTAGGCAAAATGCGGTAGCCAATTGCACACGGGGGTGTCCCTACACAGCAGTGTCCCCACAAACAGTCGTGGATTGAGCGATGACCACATTTTTTTTTGATGGTACATCCTTCCAACGTGAAAGGCGTTATTATACAAATTAATTTGTTGTTGAAGGGTGAGGTGAAATGGGCCAATGTCTGAACTAATCTTGAGATATAGTGTGATCCCTTGTGCCCCTAGGTTAAGGAAGGAGAACGGGAAAGAAAAAAGGGTTCCTGTTCCACTGTACAGTATCCCCTACTGGCAAGTCCTTCAAACATAATGCTAAAATTGTCATCAATTAAACCTGGATAGCTCTGTCTTTCTGCTGCATGTAGATTTACGTGTGTTAACTTTAAAAGTTTTGTCCTCCCACCACAAAGCAAATTCCCATTACAAAGCAACAGGATACAAGATCCTGGTGCTTGAACATGTTTCATTGTCTGGCCATCAGACTGATATGGATAGGCCTCATTAAATGCTTTTTTGGAAAACACTGTCTGAACAATAAATGTCAGTACCGCTGATGAGATAACTACCGTAAAACATACGCTGTGCAAAAAAGCCTTCAAAACTGTTCACTTATTCAAAATATTACCTTCATTATTAGCAGTTTAAGAGAAGAATGAATCTCCAAGGAAATGATGCCTAAGTGTACACTATACTTAACATTGCCCTAACATTTCTAATAATAGACACACCTGTGGTGATGGGTTAATGATGATGTGCGGCTTTTAATTTTAAAAACAGAAATTTCTTTTAAAAGTTCATCCCACATTATGGAATGATGGCGTCCAGTTTGGGTATTTCTTATAACTGGATTCCTTAATACAATTCCTGGCAACCCACGGGAACTCGGCTCTGAAAATAAGATTGTGTTGGAGTTTGCTTCCCCGCAGGGCTAGTATGATGAACTGCTGGTTACCAGGACGAATCCCCATTTGCACAACTTGGATTTCTTATTAAGGAATCCTGTTAAGAAATGTCCCAAGTTAGACCCTGTAGTTTTAAAAGAGACAAATGTTCGCCAGAGTGCTGATTTCATATGTTTTTTTTATCATCACAATAAGGGGCTGCAGTAAGCACACATTTATTAGTCATCTACTATCTTAACTGGTGCAAACAATGGGTGGGTTTGAACCAGCTACTAATCTGACATGAAATACATCCCTGCAATATGTTAAAAAGCAATCCTACCAGCATGAGCTCTCTGGATGTGGCTCTGGAGCCCGCTGATAAAGGCAGTCTTAAATGAGCAAAGTTTACATCTGAATGGTTTCTGATGTCCATGTTGATTCTGCATGTGTCGTTCCAAGCTGCGAAATAGAAGAACGAACCCATTACATAATCATAAGGATAGCTGTTAGGAATACAACTCTACAAATTTGGCTTAGGTAAATTATCAGATGCCACATACTAGCACCAGCAATTTAATTTTAAAGATAATGACGGAGGGAAGAGAGAGGGGACAAGAGTATTACTGAGGATCATCACTGAATCATTGCAATGCACAAATTCACTAGCCCATAGTGACACAAGAGAGAATGGGAGCTAGATAAATGCTTTATATTTGTTGACTGTCTTTGGGAAGATGGAAGAGGAGAGAAAAGAAACACCTACTGAGATCATCCTAACCCAACAGCTGGGGTGGGCCGTGCGATGGCAGAATACATTATTTAAGGAAATTTAGCTAGTAAGATAATTTTCTTTTTTGGTCAGCTATCTGACACACACATGCACATCTAACACATGATGAAGAATACTCAAACCAAACAGTTTCACATATTAATGATTTCCTTGCATCTCTGGAACATAATGTGCACTCTGTCGCTATAGCGAGGCACAATATTTAGCGAATTACTGAGAGTAATATGCACAGGTTGGCAAGAGCCAAGGTATGGGGACAGCAGAGTATGTTACGGGGGGTACCGCTGGAGTCTAACCAACTAAAACCACAGAGTTTACAAGTGAAAGCACTGTCTAGCAAGCTTTCCCACCGCTTCTCCACTCTAGAGGACCACCCAAAAGTTTGCATTTGATAACTTGGCCATACATTTACTTCTTATCCCCACATGAAAGACACCATGTCAACCAACTTGTCTTAACAGCAGTCACTGGAGCAGGAGCCGCATGAGCAACACAAAAATGCCTTTGCTACGTTTTAACAGCAATGGAAGTGGTGTCAATATTGTAGGCACAAAAGCACTTCTTCTGCACGAAGTCCAATGCATCTTCATGTTGAACTAATTCTAGCTCATTTAGATTTACTTGCAACCAGATCACGAGTACGTAAGCTGTGAAGATTTACCAGAAAGGTGTTAACAAGTGACATTAGCATGTTAAATGCTTTAGATCAGTCATAAATGCACAGCAATTCAACACGATCTCTCTCTGATGGGTATGTTCTTGGTGCAATAAAGATGTCAAGCTCCAATATCTAGAATTCCCCCTTTCCTCCTCTTCCTTCATACTTAGCAAAGCAATTTGTTTTGACAAGCAAAGCTTCTATTTGCACTGCAAAATAATTCAAGGATATACAACACTACTCCCGTACGCGAGGCAGAAATTATTGTAAGATATTATAGGCAGCACTGCAATTGGAAGAAATAAGTGTTCTGAAATATGTACTCTCAACAACTAGATCAGGACATTTGAAGAAACTACTGGGGCATTATTGAACAGGAAGAGACTGCCTTAGAGTCTTATGTGCAATACATTGACCTTGGGTAGGTGATAATTAACTACAAATCTGCGTTCAAGGGGACAGGTTCCAGGTGATAACAACAAAAAGCTACATTTGGAAAGCGCCTTTTAAATCAGGAGGGCATCCCAAGATGCTGAACAGTCAGGGAATTGGACCCGAGCGTGGGTTGGGATCAGGGAGGATGGAGGGCAGCGAGGGTAGGGATAAGAGGGTGGCCAAAAGCGCAGTTGAATAGGAGGTTCTTGACGTGCTGCGAAGGAGGCAAGGGAGGGGGCGAGGAGGAGGGACTGTGGAATGGAGTTCCAGAGGGTGGGGGCTGAAGGCCCGACCACCAATGGTGGGCCAGGCAAGGCGGGGGATATGAAGCAGGATGCTGAGCAGAGGCAGTGAAGAGGTTGATATGGGGTTAGCAGGCTCACGGGAGGCCTTGAAGGCGAGGGTGAGGATTTTGAATTCTATCTTCTGGGGGGATGGGGAACCAGATAAAACTGTCTTGAAGAGAAATGTCAGGAGCTTTCTGCATCAGACCAGCTTATTGTTTTTTCTTTGTTGGTAGTGGTATTGCATGCAGGATTTGTAGGCAGATACATTGCTGAGGTTCTCCCATTTACAGATTCAATACGTTTTGGGTACCGAGTGAAATCATTGGGAACTCAGCAGTTCCAGGGAAATGTCTACCCAAGGCCAAACAACCGTTAATTCATAATGCAATGCTTCTGTTGCAACAGGAAGAAATACACCCAGAGAGCACAAAATAACACATCCCTATCTATACTGATAGAGCAGGGAGGACAGACTGCACATCAGTAAACCTGCAGTAAGATCTATATCCCTGCCCAGTCCAGCCTCAAACTGAACCTACGAGACTCTTATTGGTTTGGGGGAAAGTTATAAGTTTAGATCTTTCCCCAAAGGAACAAATAATAAGTAATAATCCTTGCATTGGATATAGTACCTTATCATGTCTTCCGAGACATTTCAAGCGCTTCACAGAATATACTGTAAAGTGAATTGACTGTAATATTTTGTGAGTAGTAATTGGCAGCCAATTGCGCACAGCAACGTCCCACAAACAGTCGTGGATTGAGTGACCACATTTTATTTTAAGGAATTATTACCATCAGAAAAGCGATCTGCCAATCGACTAACAACCGGGTACCTACTTATTGCTAGGTAAAAAGAGGCATGGTGAGCAAGGACTCTTGCCCAATGTTTCGCCCTGGCCGAGAATCACACCCAAGTCTCTCATTTGCGAGGCGAGTGCTCTAACCACTGAGCTACAAGAAGCCATAAAGGGTTAGAATCTCTGGACCAATCTCAGTAGCTTCCCAATGGAGTTGTAGCAGTAGTAGTAATAGGAGAATGTTGATGCTAATGCTGAAGGTTGTCCAAAGAACACACATTAAAGACACGCAGGTGCAACAGAAGTGAGAGTAGATGATCGTTTTGCAGTGAATCTGGCCAATCCATTCTTGACTAGAGAAATCCTGGATGCTCCCAGTGAGCCGGGGGGCGGGTGGGGGAATATATGCCATTTTCTGGCATTACTTAGGTTCACTTATCATCCCATCAAAGCAAAACCCAAAAGGATTAATCAGCTTGCTTAACAGTTGAAAGTAACAAGACACACACACACAAAAAAAGAAAGATTAGGTGTTTTCTGTACTTGACACATCTTGACAAGCCAGTGTTCTGTGTTTGTTCACTGTTGATGGATAACCTAAGAGAATGCTTGATGCACACTGAAACGAACACCAGCAGGTTACCAAAACATTTCTCCACAAACATGAAAAAAACATTTACTCTGTTGGCAATAGCTATGAGCTCCAAATGAGATAGCAGGGAATGAGCAGCAGAAGTGGGTAGTTATTTTAATTTCATGTGAATCCATTTACATGGAAGGGTTGCTGACACTAATCATAGTCTTGTGACATTTCGAACAATAAAAATCAAAGAAAATTCCCTGGGAAAATGTCACTGATTACTATACAGGTGCAGGAGTCAAACATTAACTCCTTTCTTCCTGACGAATATCCCCAGTAACATTAAAGCATTATTACAGTAAAATGTCCAACAGATTGTGTAAGGATCTTAAGAAGCAGAATCAACCATGGAAAGGGGATGGGTAACTCAACAAAGAACATTAGAATAAGAACAACAAATTACATTTCTATAGCGTCGGGAGAACATCCCAAAGTACTCGACAGTGAAGGAATTGCACCAGAGCTGGGGAGAAAGAGAAAAGTAAAAGGGAGATGTATATGTGAATGAAGCCAAATAAATAAATGTATAAAAAATACAAAAGCGAAAATGAATCGCTCTTCAAGTGCACAGACGTTTCCTGTAGGAGAACTACAAAAATAAAATTCCCTATATTTCAGCTAACTGTGGTTATAAAGCTGAATGAAACAATTTACCTCAAGGCAACTCTTCGCTGGGAATTAACAGCGAAACAATTGAGAGATGCAAGAGGTAAGAATCAGCTCATTACTTAAGACTTAATCTGTTACAAAATCCTATCAAGGTCTTTCAGTAGTTTAGCAAGCAAAACACAGGTAGAGACATTTCTCATTTTGGGATAAAATATGGTCATCTTGACTGTGGCCAATGTAATAATCCATACTATTACAATTATTATTATTACATTTCCCTTGGAACCTCATCCCGACATGAAGGGCGCTATACAAATGTCATCTGATGTTGTTGTTTAATAAATTATTTCTTCCGGCAAAAATAACCAAAGTGGTGAATAGTGAAATGCCTACAAATGCTGGTGCAGAGATGAGTGCTAACCAGTTCATTTCCCCCACCTTCTACTCCTCATAAATTTTCATCATTTGCTGAGCGCAATTGGCTGCCGCGTTACGCCCACAAAATATACAGTCAATCCACTTTACAGTGTAATCTGTGAAGCGCTTTGAGGCATCTCAACGACGTGATAAGGTGCTATATCAAATGCAAGGATTATTATTATCATTATCATCACCAGTCAAACTGAGAGAAAGTCAGAACTGTGGCAAACTGATTCTACAGTCACAATAGATACTCTGTAATCTTCAGGTGTTTAACATGATGAGAAACAGAAATGTGGCTGGGGAAGGCAAGGACTGGATTCCAGTCCTGACAGTAGCAGGAATGAGACCAGAGAAAGATCTTGCACAGGTTCAATGTTCCTTCCTAATTTTTAAGAGAAGAAAGCAATTGGCATCTCAGGGTCTTGCTGAAAACGAGACATAAATTAGGATTGAGAAAGGTATCCCCCCAGGCTGGGCTGAAAAAGGAATCCCAGCATCTTCAACCCAAGGGAATTTTCTGTTCCAAAATCTTTTGTAATCAGATAAAATCTTCAAAATCTTCCTCCTTGATGCTCTATATATGGGCCTGATGTCAGCAACATCAGAAATGATGAGCTTTGAGAAAGGTGACCCCAGCATTCTACATAAATGAGACCTGAAATTCCACTTAGTCGTACCCTACAAGAACATTCTCCCGCCTGGATTACTCAAACACACTCCTCGCCAATCTCCCCAGCTCCACTATTAAAAAGATCCAGCTCATTCAGAACTCTGCTGCCCGCACACTGATCTGGACCAAACTCCATACCTACATCTCACCAGTTCTGGCCAGGCTCCACTGGCTCCCCATCACCGAACGACTTCAATATCCTCACACTCGTGTTCAAATCCATTCACTCCCTGGAACCTCCCTATCTCTCCGACCTCCTCACTCCCCAATCCACCACCCAGAGCCTCCGCTCGACTGGCACTGGCCTCCTGCTCATCTCTTGCATTCTGACCCACCATCAATAGTCACGCTTTCAGCCACTACGCCCCGAAACTCTGGAACACTCTCCCTCAATCCCTCCGTCCTGCCTCCTCTCTCCCCATTTTCAAGTCCAATCTGAAAACTTTCCTCTTCAACCGTGCCCCCACCATGGCTCGGAGTCAGGCTCCGCCACTGTTAAGCATTCTGAGACTCTACCCTGTGTGGAGGGCGGTATATACGTGCACTTTGTTGTTGTTGCCTGTACAGAATTAGCGGACAGGTTGATTTGGGGTCAGCAGGTCGTAGAGGTAGGAAGGAGCAAGGCAGTGGATGGCCTTCAAGGCGAGGACGAAGATTTTGAACACTATCCTCTGAGGAATGGAGAGCCAGTGGAGCCGGGTGAGGGTGGAGTTGATAGGGCATGGAGCCTGGTGCGGGAGAGGACACGAGCTGTAGATGATATGCAGCTTTGGAGGGAAGAGTTGGAAAGGCTGACAAGCAGTGAGATGGAGTAGTCGAGCCTAGATATGATGAATGCGTGGATGAAGGTTTTGGCGGTCTGAGGCGTGAGGTAGTGGAGAGGCCGGGCAATGTTATGTAGGTGGGGGAAGGCAAAGCGGGTCATTGCACTGATGTAGGGTAGAAAGGATAGTTGAGGGTCAAACAAGATGTCAAGGTTCTGGACTGGCTTAGTAAGGTGGAGTGTGCATCCTTGGATGGTGATGCTGTCAGTGCCTGTGGTGTGGAGGCGCTGACGGCGGCCAATCAGGAGAGCCTCGGTCTTGTTGGTGTTCAACTGTAGAAAGTTACCTCATTAAGTGCAAGACATTAAATGGTCTTGCACACTAACAGGAGGTCCTAAAGAAAGACTATGCGCGCAACACCATAACCCCCATCCCATCCCCAAGTCAGATGTATGAAAGAATCTTGAAAGGATTGCTTTTAAGTCATTCTTCCCAATGATCAGTGCTTATTTCTCCTAATGGTACACGGACAGTGTGGTGAAGAGTGAAATTTATTCCACTTAAACAGTGATCCAGTTACAAACTATGGATTGTACTTTTTCCAGACTAAATCATACAATAACGATGGGATTGATCAATACATGGATTTTGCAAGATGAATTATGAAGCGTCAGCCAACGGATCGGTTTATGACACAAGGGATAAAAGCAAACATGCTGCAGCCTACTTCTGTCCAACTCCCACTCTCTTTATTGATTTATTGCTCAATTCCATCCTTTTTCAAGTAGAGGCCACCATTCTGTTGAATCCCAGGTCTTTCTTTACTTTGTAGTTGCACCAGCGCTACACAATCTATCAAATAATTGAAGTTCTATGAGCATCATTCATTCCAAAACATTGAGGCCTGAAATTTCTCATGTTCTTAGTCTTAGGATGGCACCAAGGCAGCAGAAGAGGTTTTGAGTTATGAAGGGCAATTTGAGGACAGAGACCGGGAAGGTTTTCTTTACCCAGAGGATAATAAATGAGTGTACATGTTGTCACGAAGTTTGATTGAGGCCAGGACACTGGACCAGTTTAAAAAAAACCTTGATCCTGTGATGGGATGGAGAGGGGATATTCTGTATGGATGAGATCAGATTGGCCGAAGGGTCTTCCTCATCCGAAACAATCTTGTGAGTATCATTGTCTTAGACATTAGGATCACACAGAAATTTGGAAACGTACTAAAAATCAGCCTTCAAACGTAAAAACTACAGAAAGTTAGCCTCCAAACTGAGAGGGAATCATTTTCCAAAAAAAACATACATTTATAAGGTACGTTAATCTTAAGGCTTAAGACCAAGATTAATTTCCAGTCTGTGATCTACCATACTCTTTGCTGGTGTCGAGGCAAAGCAATACACATAAATACAGGGTGACCAAAAATTTGTGATAACTACACTCTTATCTAAAAAAACATAACATCTTTAAAAGACTTATTAGACATTGTAATGGTGTCACAACTTTTGGTCACCCTGTAATAACAATCAGGTTAAGGAAGAATGACATCAGATTTCATTTTTATATTTTAAAACAAACTTTCTTTTGAGAAACTGTTGATTATCAAAGTGTTCTAGGTTTACTCACTTTTGTCTGAAAGCAGTGACAAATGAGCAGTACTGGCAGTGGTGTTTGCTTTCACGGCAAAAGAGCGCCGAAGCCATGTGACTCCTTTCGTGGGACCGCAGGCCTTGGAGGGACATGAGAATCCGATCACACTGACTGCACGGGTAACCTCCCAGGGTAGCATCCGCAGCGATGGAATCCTCCTCCCCTTCTAACAGCTGCTCTGCCTCGCCATAGTGTAAAACTTCTGAAGATTTTTCGGGTGAATACATGGAAAGTGTTTCTTCATTCTTATTCTGCAAGGAAAAGTTCATAAGGTTGGGGGTGGGGAAGAAAGCACTCGTGAGATTTGGAACAGTTTGTGAGATCACATGACAGCTTGCATATTTTATTGTTTTAAAAATCGAAGAGTAGCGTAACCTGGCTGACCTCCTTGGGGATTCGGGGAGGGTTGCAAGGCTGTAACCCAATCGAGAGGTTCAAATAACAAACCATAAGGATAGAGTTACTGTCCTGTACAACCTCAGATCCATTGACTATTTGGTATAACATATACTATCTGTAATGCAATCCAGATGTACCAAGGAACAGATGGTCATTGACAAACTCAAAGACCTACAAGCGAATACCTGAACAAGGTCATCTTAAGGGCTATGTGCATGGACTTGACATTATTCATTCACTAATCCAGTCATTTAAGAGCCTCATCTAATCTTCCAGGTTGCAAAATACCACCAAATCTCAAAATATTGCAACATCCAGTGATTTCTGACGCTAGCACTTAAGTCCAGAACCAGGTAACAATACACAAATGGACTCAGAAGGCCACAGGTTGCATCAGTAGAAAATATTACTCCACAGACCTATATCTACGACCATAATGCTGCCATACAAACTTCAAAACTGAATGCTGGAGCTTTGAAAAACATGCAAGTAGATGTATTTGAAAAGCTAGCAATATGCTGCATGGAATATTGAATTTGTTCTTTACAGAATAACTCACACCTTGAGACGGACCTTGAAGGAGGGGAGACAAAGGGACTCTCGAATGGAATTCCAGTGAGTGAGGGTAAAAGGCCTGACCGCCAATGGTGGGACAGGATGAAGGACATGAAGCAGACCAGTGCCTGCCAATGGCAGGTTGATAAGGTTTTAAATGGTAACAGAGATGGGGTGGGGTAAGACCACAGAGAGCTTTAAAAGTGAGGATAAGGATCTTGAACTCAATTCTCTGGGGGATAGAGAGCCAGTATAGCTGGGCGAGGAAGGAGGTTCATTTATTTAAACTTTTTAAAAATAACTTTACAGTATATCCTGTAACGCATTTTGAGACGTCTCAATGATGTGATAAGGCATTATATCAAATGCAAGGATTATTAATATAAATTGAATTTACATAGCGCTGTTCATGTGGGATAACTTCTCAGGAGTACTTTAGGAACACAATGCAGAATAAAGAAATGCGTTGCTGTCCTTGATAAAATACATAGCTATTCTGCTCGACTCAGTTGATAGATCTCTCACCTCTGGGAAAGATGACTGTGGATTCAAACACCTTGTTGGGACTTGAGCTCATAGTATAACCTGACACTTTGCTGTAGTATTGGGTGAGTACTGCATTATCAGAGGTGCTGTCCTTTGCATGAAATGTTAAACCAATGTCCTGTCTGCCTGCCTGTTATTCAGGTGGACATTAAGGATCCCATACAAGATTGAAAAAAGAAAAGGGAGTTTCACCTTCACATCCGAGCCAGCAATCTTTAAGATAAAATCGGTCATTTATCTTCATGGCTGCTTGTAGGACATTAATGTCTGCAAACAGCTGCTGGATGGGTCTACAAAAACTGTCCATACATTTGACAATAATTACTGGTAAACAATGTGCTTTTGACATAAGATGCTGTAGAAATGCTTTTTTTTTCTTTCTGATTACAATTGATACATTTCAACATTTCCATTGGATAATTTACATTACATTCATTCTATAAAAAAGTGGATTCACAATATTGAGATGACAAGACAAAGCAACACGCAAGTGCAAGGATGACCAGTTATAATAAGAATGCTTGCATTTGATGTAGCACCTAAAACATTGAAAAGTTTTGAAGCTCTTTAGAGGGAATTTTTTTCAAGGTGGTAATTTTATATTTGCAGATGGTTAATAGGAAATCCTGGATTTTCAGAGCTTTTATTAATAAAAAAATGGAATTGTGATTAAGGAGGTTTCAGCCATCTGAGACTATCATGCATGAAGGTGTTGGACAAATACAAGTTGTTGGTGGTGAAGGTGGTAAATAGAAAAGGAACATTTTCCCCATTTCAGGAACCTAATGGAAACAACAAGCATTCCTAGGTCAGGTACATCAAGCCCATTTCTCATTTGTTCCTTGCAACCGGGACAGGGACCACTATCAAGCATCAGAAAATCCCAGATTCAAAGAAAGGTCAGATGTGAGTAGCTCAACTCCAAGCTCTGTGCCATTCAGTGTAAGCGTAGCTATCCACAATCTATCGGAAGGTTAATCAATAAATAAGGACTGTGAGTACCTACTCTGAAATAAAGAATGTAATGTCCATCATAGAATAGTTTGAAGTTGTAACAAGGTTTTCATACACACACATATTAAAGTCAATCTAGTGCTGTAGTGTGGGACTGCCAACAAGGTGTTCAGAAGTTCAATTCCCACAGCTGTCACTCAAACTCACTGCTTATGCCACTGGAGGAAGTTTCAGCAGTTCACAGCTGGGAGCAAGATGAAGTACCACCAAACGCAAGTCAGTTAGTCGTGCAATAGGAACACTCATAGCAGAGCTAAACCAACAGCTGTCCAAGCATACTTTATGACCTATCTCACACACACACACACACCACACACACAGGAAAAACTACTTTAAGAAAAGGAGATTAACTAATTGGGAGACTAAATTTCTAAATCATATTCTACAATACACTCCCATATACAGGGCCAACCTGTTAGAACAGGCCTGGATGACACAGAAATCAGCTATTTGTGTTTCAATATAATATAGTATTTGAGATGTGTTGTCAGAGAGTTGGCCACTATGTTCAACTGTAGCAATACGAATGTCAGGCAACATTGAATTTTGGGAGTTTCTAAAAAGATGCATGAAGACACATTTGAAATTCTGGCAACAAGCTGTGCAGTACTCACCTCCTCGGCAGTGCGAGACGAATCCATCGACTCTCCAAATGCAACATGCTTCCGAAGATGATTTGATATGGCTCGCGGTGTTGGATGGACCTCAGAACAGAAGCTGCACTTGTATCCCACTACACGTCTATCCTTGGGCAAAGGAAGGGGTTGTGTTGGCTGAATATCAATCGGTTTCTAAAAGTAAATGAATATTCAATAAATCATTTAAACTTGCAAAAGCATCAAACCTTTTTTTTAATAATTTAAAAAGAGGCTGCATTGGACGACTATTATTCTGAGGAATATAGGCACAGGAGGAAGTCATTCATCTGCCAAGCCTGTTCCACTATTTCAATGGGTCACAGCATTTTCTTAATCTAATTTTCCTGCTAATCTCCTTACTTCCCAGGTTTCTATTAATTTCTCTTTCAAACATAAGACACTTTCATCACAGAAGTAGACGTCTTTTCCCCATCCCAATTGATTGTGCTTCTATCAATACATGGGAATTGATATGTGTAGGTGGGATGCATGGAATCATCAGTTTAGATACTCTTAAACACAGTGATGGTTTTCCACATGCATAAGCCATCCCACTGATCCCAAAAAATGGCATTCAAGGGCAATGCATTAACATTCATGAAACTACTTTTGTTTTGGTTACTTGTATACAATTCATATATGCTCACAAAAAAATTTAAGCTTGTGCATCAATGTGCATCAAATACATTTAACTGAGGAAATCTTGATCAATGTAACAATATTTAATAAAATGTTTTAGTAAGAATCCTTACATTGGCATAGCACCTTAACAAATCATTAAAACGCCCAAACCTTTTTACGGGATTTTACTGCAACGTGTAGTTAGTCACTAAATTTGCAAGCAAATTTGCATCCAGTATTTTCCCACAAGCAGCTCTGAAATGAATGATTTGTTTTATCCGGGGGGACTGATGACCAGGACAGAAAGAAACACCCTACTTTTTTTAACCTGAATAGTATCATGGGGTCTTTAATGTCCATCAAATAAACAGACCTTGGTTCAACATCTTATCTGAAGGACAGCATCTCTGCAATATAATAATAATAATATTTGCATTTGATATAGCGCTTTTCACGTCGGGAGGACGTCTCAAAGCGCTTCACAGAACACACTGTCAAGTGAATTGACTGTATATTTGTGGGCGAACGCGGCAGCCAATTGCGCACAGCAATGTCCCACAAACAGTCGTAGATTGAAAATGACCAATTTATTATTGTTTTTGGTTTTTGGAGGGATTATTATTAGGCTCTGTGTGGAGTAAGGAAACTTGCCCAAGATTTCGCCCCCTGCATGGAATTGAACTCAGGTCTCTCGCTTGCAAAGCGAGTGCTCTAACCACTGAGCTAAAGGACTCCAATGCTCCCTCAGTACTGCAATGAGCACCAGCTAGATTACAAGCACAAAGCCCTGACATGGGGTTTGAACTCTTATCCTTCCAACTCATGGGCGATAGTCCTACCTACAGGTTGACAACTTTCCACGTATTCATGTTGCACATAAACCCATTTAATACCAATGCACATAACTGCTCTTGTACAACAACTTATCTCCAACAAAAAACGCTAAATATTGAATTTTCATCTCAATGTCAATTCTATTCACGGTCTACAAAATGAGCATCAGGGTGATTAAAAACATTATTCCATCTGATTCTATTTCTCTCACAAACTGAATGAATTACATTTTAATTTTAGAAGAATTTTTTGGTCAGCCGGGTGTCTGGCACCTGTGGAAACCCATCACCATGCTAAATAGTATCCAAACCAGTCAAGAGTTTCACATATGTATATCTACAAACAGAAATTCCCAAATGGAAAGCAACATGCATTCTCTCCCTGGAGGGACGCACACTGCTTATCAAATTCCAGAGTATTAGGAGCAAGTTGGCAACAGCCAAAACTTGGGGACCCCAGAATGAGAAACATTTACGTCATAGGGACATAAATAGTTCAAGTTCGAGGAAAGCCCATTTCATTCATCCAGCTTGTTCCTTTGGGATCGAGTTTTCCCAAGTTTCCTATTGCCCTAGGCAGATCTCGGATTTAACTCTGCAAATGTCACGCCTGGTTGCCAGCTCTGTTATTCTGGCAGAGCTTTTATTTATGTTTTGTAGACCGCAAGCCTGTTCACAATGAGTAACAGGTGCAGAATTAAAAAATGGAGAAGTAAGAAATTACCGGTAGCATCAATGAATCTGAGACCCGAAAGCAAAAATCCCTCTTTATTTTAACTGAATGACCATCGTCTTAAAATTCTGAAATTCAGCCTCAACTTGAAAGCTGGTTCTTTTCAAGAACATTCAATGGGATATCAAAAAATTACAAAATTGTAATATATAATAATTTTTGCATTTGATAGAGCCTTAATTTGTCAAAACATGCAAGATGTCAGCCTGGCTCAGTTGATAGCACTCTCACCTCTCAGTAAGAAGGTTGTGCCAGCACATGAACTCAAACGCTGGCACTCCAATGCAGTGTTGGGGGTGCGTTGCATTGTTGGAGGTGCTGTCTTTCAGGTCCCGTCTGCCTGTTCGGGTGGAATTTCAAGATCTCATGACAATACTTCAAAAGGGAGTTTCTCCCAGTGTCCTGGTCAACAATCCTCTAAATAAGATTGGTGAATCATTTCATGGCTGTTTGTGGGACATATATGTGCGTAATTGGACTGCCATTGTCATCTACAAATACAGTTACTTCACTTCACAGTAAATCCTGTGACACTCTTTAAAACACCCTGCTGAATTGAAAGGCACTATATCAAATGCAAGGGTTATTATTACAATAAAACACCCCAAAGCACTTAACAGTAATCACTATTAAGTCTAGCAAAAGTGTATTTGTAGGTGAACACTGAAGCCAATTTGCAAGGAGGACCCATACCTAGGAAGTGTATGACCAATTTATCTGGATCTGGAGGATTTGTTGGCCAGGAAACTGGGAGTAATTTCCCTCAGATTTTAGTCATAAGATCTTTGCCCTCTACTTGAACATGCAGATGGGGCCTTAGTTTAACATCCTCACCACATTAAGGAATAAAATTATTTTGAATACTTGGCTGTGGACTCCCATCAATATATTTCTCTTTAAGAATAAAGCAGATTTCCCCCAGCCTGTTCCCATGAGGATCTATATAGAAATCACCCCGACCAACACTTCTCCCTTACAAATGAATTTGATGCCCTTTGCTGAGGTTCCACAAACAAAACGTGATGACATACATGTGGTTTCTGTGCATCTAACTATTTTTTACTTAACTAACTTGTCATTAGCGAGAAGACAGACACATTGCTTAAAATGCTTTAACTGTATTAACTCCTTTTAGGTTTACACCTCTCGTTACAGTTATACGTCTCTGGCATGTAATATACATTACTGCAAACTTATTTTATCTGCTCAAGTGCCAAGCTTCTCTAAATGCTTTTGGAGAAAATCTGCCCCACATATTGCTGTATTATTAGTGAATTTATCCTTTCATCCTAGTCACTTGAAGATCCTGTTCAATGGAAGTACACAGCTAAATTGTGATAATCCTTGCATTTGATAATAGTGCCTTATCACGTCGTTGAGACGTCTCAAAGCACTTCACAGACTATACTGTAAAGTAGACTGACTGTGGATTTTGTGGGCAAAATGCTGCAGCCAACTGTGCCCAGCATTGTCACACAAACAGTTGTGGATTGAGCGACCAATTTTTTTTGGGGGGTTGGGGTTGAATTATTACCCCTGGAATGCAATCCAACAATGTACTAACAACTGGGTTCCTACTTACCTCTAGGTAAACATGACATTGTCACTATTTGAAAATAGAAGGGAATTTCTTCCAATGCCCTGATCATCAATCCCCCAAATATGGTCATTCAATTCACTTCATAGCTGTTTATGGGACATTGCAGTGCGCAAATTGGCTGCAGAAATAAAGTCACTACGCTTTACAGTATCTGCTGTGACGTGTTTGAGACGTTCTCCAGATGTGAAAGTGCTACATCAAATACAAGGATTATTATTCACATTCCATCTTCCTAAAGCAAGGGGGTGCATTCAGTGATTGTAGGAATTCAGCCACCATCCTATGGCTGTCATGAGAAATGTGTGGAGGAGCCACTACGTAAACTGTTTAACTGATTCTTCCAGAAAGCATTCATGTTAGATCTCAGTCCTTTGAAAGCCCAAATATTGTCCTCTGAATTGCTGAGATAACAAGTAAAAAGTTGGTAAAGAGCTCCTTTTCCCACATCTAGATGCTCCTGCAATCCAAGTCTCTTTCAAATTTCAAAGTTGCTCTTTGGCAGTTTCCTGGATTATTTCCCAGTCAATTTCCCACTCCTCTGAAATATTTTCCGCTCCCTCTCTTCCCTTTCCCCTTCCATTGATAATGAAATCTGAAATTTCTGGTGTTGCTCTCATTTCTCTTTGTACATCCTTTACAATCTATCAGAAACCACAGTTGATCCATTTTACAAAGCTTCCAATCTCCAAGTTGCCTATTTTCTTAATTTTCATTAAGATAAGCACTGTGTATTAGTCTCTTTGAGAATTTGGTTTCAGGCTTTGGCACAGTGCCGTGGGCTTTCTCTCGATTTAAAAGTTGCACAGCTCCACTACTCATTGAACTGCTACCAAAGAGCTGTACTTTGTGCTCTCACCTGCACTTTTATGGTTCTGCCGACTGTGAAGACGACCAAGTAATTTGTTTATGTTTACCGTGCACTGTGTGACGAATGGTTTTTCATTTTTCCTGCCCACATTCTTGCGTTTACCCACAAGCTTTCTTTTGTAGTGAAGCCAAATTCCCACGCTGATGCCTTAGATTGCTTAGCCATTCAACCAGACAAATTCGAGCTTACATCATGCGATTAGAGTTTATTAGCAATAAACCCCAAAAAAGGGAGGCAGTGATAAAATGCAGGCTGCAATTTAAAACAAAAGGAAGAGAATCGGGAGTAAAGGATCAGATATATTATGGGGTAAGAAAGGAAAAAAGAACAAGGAATGTAAGCAGTTCTATAACACAGGTGTTTAGGATTAGCTCGAGAATCAGGGTAATCCACTGAACCTTACTTTATGCATCATAAATCATCTCATTCCTGAGGCTAGGTGTAAAAAAAAAGCAAGTGCTTCAAAGTTCAAGAGTTTAACTGAAAACTTACAACAATAAAGTGGTAATTTAATAAAGGGACGCCAATTGCAGAGCCAAGAGATCAAAACGTCACCCAAACAAGCCATGAAATCACACCGGTTTGTAGCGTTAAATATGTGTGCACACAGCTTGTGATGCACGAGGCAAAATAAAGGGTCTGAACTGTACCTACCCCTACTCCAGGCTGAATACAGAGACTAGTCTGAGGTCGATTACCAGGAAATGCTGGAGCAATTATACATTGAATCCAGGCCAATGCGTTTCTTGCTTCAGATAAACTGCCAAAGCTCAATTTATAAACACAGTCTTTATAACATGACCCTAACTCCAGAGATCTTGCAACATTCAAACCCCAGAGTCTTCTGCTGCAAATCTATATATTCAAAGCAATCTCAAACTCCTGAAATTTTTAGCTATATTTCTCTCTCAAATGTTGACTGACCTACTGTGCATTTCCAGTAATTTCTGCTTTATTTCGAGCTGGTGTTTCTTTATTTGTACCTTAGTCTTCAATTATCTTTCAAAACCAATCATGCGAGAGGCTTGTTTAATTGGGGGCTTTTTCCACAAAAGCAGAGGAGATTGAAAGGGAATCTAATAGAGCTCTTTAAGATGCTGAAGAGGTGCCATGTAAGTAGGGGAAAACATATTTCCTGTAGATGAGAAATAGGTGACAAGGGGTTTAGTCCCAGGACTGTTAGCAGAATTATCAAGAGAGGTCAGAAGGAATTTCTTCACTCAGAGGGTTTGTTATGTTGTGAAATTCATTACCACAAATAACTGTCCAAGCTGGATCAATAGAATAATTCAAAAGTTAACTCAATAAGCAGCTGATCAGTAAAAACATTCTAAAGGATATGTACTGGAAAGTGGGATTAATAGCAAAGTGTACCAATACAGACAGAAATGGTATAGACACAATGGACCAAAAGGTCTCCTGTGATGCTGTAAATGATTTAAGTTTCTAATGAAGAGAGAGTACATTACCAGCAATTGATAAGTGTGCTATTATACAATTATCTTCTGAAGTTTGGCACGCAACACTTCTTGTGCCTAACATACCTGTTCTTTCAGTTGCTGTTCTGAATCAACTTTTATTTCCGGAGGCTTCTCCTCATCCTCTTTCCGTTCCTCATCCTCTTTCCGTTCCTCATCCTCTTTCCGTTCCTCATCCTCTTTCCGTTCCTCATCCTCTTTCCGTTCCTCATCCTCTTTCCGTTCGCCTTCTTCGACCACCCTTTTCTCTTGCTGCAGTTTTGCCCATCTGCTAAAGTCCTCATTGTGCTGGTTTAGATGCTCACTCAGTTCCAACGTGCTCAGGAGTTTGCTGCTACAGTGCTTGCACTCGTAGGTTGGGCTGTGTGAACGGGTGCTGCCAGGGAGCAACTTGAAGTCCAGTTTCAGATCCCGACTGTGATAGTCTGTGTAATGCATGCAGAGCAGCTGTGCTGTACTGAAAGATAGCTTGAAGCACTTCACGCATTTGAAGGGTAGCCACCCACAGTCTTTGTTCTCAACCACTGGGGGGGCTTCTATAACAGTCGCCGCGGGCATCTCATTCTCCGCCTGCGGCTCTTCCTCCTCGTCATCAGCATACACAACCGTAAAGTACCCGTTATACTTGCTGACGTACTGTTTTCTGGGGTAGACGCCAGGATGGCGCTTCATGTAGTGAGAGACCAGGCCTTTCTTTGTATACGTTTGGAATGAGCACAAGGAACATTTTTTCTTCTCCACTGCTCTCCTGAGCTCTTCGGTCAGAGGGGGAGACTCTGGTTTTGGTTCAATAGGAAGGATAAGTTTCTCAGGTTTTTTACTAACCATTGTTTTGGAGGCCGCCAGGCAATGAGTATAGTAAGAATCAATATCGTGGCGTTTTTGGTAATGAGCAGCAAGCCCTTTGCGAAGTTGGTGAGTGTATGAACACAAGGCACATTTAAAAATATTGTTCTTCCCCTCTGGTTGGGCCCGGACGTTGTTATGTTTATTACGGTAATGTCTCGCTATGCCCTTTCTGGAAGAGCAGAAGTACTTGCATAGCTGACATTTGAATAAGGCATTGAGCCCTGAACAACCACTTAAAAAGGGAACAACTGTTGGAGGAAAATCTTTTTCGTCGCTTGGCTTCACATCGTCCTTCTCCTCTTCCACAGGGGTCTTTGGTACCTCAGGTACAACAGTCTGAGCTGCCGATTCAGTGAACATATCAATTGCTGGCTGTCGGTGGTATTTTTCATAGTGGACCTTTAACTTGTCAAGAGAGCCATGTGCATATGAACACAATTTGCACCTGTAAGCTCCAAACCCTTGCTTTGGGATCTTATTAATGTCTTCTATATCATTCTGTTGACCTTCTGGAAGCTTCTCAGCCTCATTCATGAAGTCATCCGCTGTGACTTTCACCAAAGGGTGCCGTTTCTGGTAGTGCGTTAGAACACCATGGATGCGAGTGTTAACATATGGGCAGTGTCTACATTTGTACAGAGTACTAGGCTTTTCATCTTTATCCAGGGCAAACTCAGCAGCTTTTACTTTTACACCCGGATGCTTTTTGCCGTAGTGTGTTAAAAGACCGTGCAGGTTATTGTATTCCGACTTACAAATTTTACATTGGTACTGCGATCCGGGAGGTGTGGAATTGCTGGCGGCAGGTGGCGATTCTTTGACTGAAGAAAGACTGGAGACTTCCAGAGGCGATTCATGCTCCAGCTGAGTGCACATTAGAATGCTTTTCACACTGTTTGTAAAATCCAGCGATGCGTCGTCATGAGCTGTTGGGTTGTTTTGTTCGGATGCATCCTTACCCAAGATTATATCAAGCAGTACAGACTCATCCCCACTTACCACCCATGGGTGCAAAGTCTGATAGTGGTTTGTGATGTCCCAGATTGATGCGGCTTCAAATTCGCAATCTCTGCATTTGTACTGCTTGAGGTCAATCGAGGCTATCTGCGACGGGTCCGCCGAGGGATCAGGACCTGCCCACAGTTTGCTAGAGATGTACGTGTAGTCTACAGGATGCTCTGGATGTCTCTTTTGGTAATGGATCAACAGCCCACTAGGTTCCTGGTGCGAGTAAATGCACCATTCACAGTGATAACCAGCGCTCACCACCCCGTCCTGATATGCCCACCGCAAGATAGTCGTCACTGTAGCCTTCACACTGGGATGCTGCTTTCTAAGGTGTTTTCTGATGGCGTAGAGGTAGTGTGCTGTATAGGAGCAATGCCTGCACTTGAAGAAACGCAGCTGCTCGCCCTCGGTTTCGGGCTGGGTGTTTGGGGTTGGCGTGCTGACCACTTGGCTGTTTGTGGCTCGTTCACGCTGGCTCCTCACGGCTGCTGTGTGCTGCCGCACGAGCTCCGCGTTGGCTTTGATGTCGCGATGTTTCTTCCGATAGTGAATCACGACGCCCTTAACCGTTCGGTTCCCGTAGTTACAGTGCTGACAAAAAAACATCATTTCTCCCTCGCCCTTCTCAGTCGCCCTCTGCTGAGCAGTCAACTCTCTGACGTCAAAAGTGTTCTTGTTCATTTGAGATAGCTGCGATACGTGGGGTCTCGCTGGCATGATCTGCAGTTCCTCCATGGTCTTTTTCAGAGCTGGAGTGGGAGGCGCCTGTTTGATGTATTTTGCTGTCACCTTTACCTCGGGATGTCTTTTTTGATAGTGAACGAGCACGCCAACGACTGACCGGTTGCTGTAAACACAGTGCTTGCAGTAATACAACTGTTCAAATTCAACTGGCTGAGGGGTTACTGGAGGCTCCTCAGGTGACATTATTGGACTCATCTCACCAGAATTATGAGCATTAATCCCAGGATTCTGGATGGAGACCACTCGCATGGTCTTTTGAATTCTAAAATAGGAAGCCTTCTCATCCGGGTGTTTTCTTTGATAATGTACCAGTACCGAATGCATGTTTGGACTCGAGAATGAACAGACATCACAACTGTACACCACAGCGCTAATCATTTCGCCTTTCTTTCCACCTGGTGGAGGGCTCACACTCTTTAAAAAATTGGCACTTGAAGGGCTGTGCGGTCCACCTTGCTGAGAGTCGGGCGTGGACGCACCAACATGCTTGGGACCAGAATTCAGAATCTCTCTCAGGGTCTGGGACTCCGCGTTTATTTCGGTTGCTTGTTGCACCACATAACTCGAGAAGATCATGGAGTTGTTGATCTTCACAGTGGGGTGCATCCTCTGATAATGAGGCATTAGGCTGCGGACATTGGGACTGGTGTAAGAGCAGAAGCGACATCTGTAGATCAAGTTAGCTTGATGAAAGTTCAGGATATTTTGAGCTTCAGGATGGAACTGAGCGTAATGCTGCCGCAGGACTTCAAATTCCGCATACTCTACAAAACATTCAAGGCATCGGTACACTGCACTCTGGTCTGTGGGATCCTCAATATACCTAAAGCTGTATTTAATATATGGGTGCATTCTCTGGTAATGGGTACTCACGCTGCGGGCCACCTTGTTACTAAAATTGCAGTGCTTGCAGTAGTAGATCTTACCAGAATCGTCACCCGTCTCACAGTTCTCCTGAAAGCCATCCCTGCTCTCGCTGCTCCCCCTTTTGTATCCCACCTGCTTGTGCTGTGAACCGTCATGATGTTCCATCGAATTGGAAAACCCATAAAAGTCATCGTCATCAGAGAGGGTCAGTTCAATTTCGGCACTGTTCATTCCAGTGTACTCGTGATCCACTGTTCCAAAGCTGGTCCCGTCTTGCATTCCATCAGTCCTTTCGACCCACAATGGCTGGTCACCATAAGTGTAATTCTGCATGTCCATCAGATGATCAATCTTCCCCTCCCTGTCATTCAGATCCCCCTCTATTCCCACACCTACACCTTCCTCTTCTTCTTCCTCCTCCTCCTCGTCCTCTTCTTCCTCCTCTTCCTCAAGAGTTTCATCCTCTTCCACTGCAACTGCCGACTCCAACTCGCTCACTTGCTGATTGGCCTGGCTGATTCTGCTCTGCAAATTATTTGCGATCTCGTCTATTCTCGTTCTCTTCTTCGCTGGAGACAGGTCCAGTGGGCTGTCCGCCGTCAACCTTTTGCCTTTCTTGAACAAAAAGCTGTTTTTGGAGGTCGACCCCAGGATCGAGGTCTGAGTCTTCACGATGCTCGGTGAAGCGAGCGCTTCGTACTCCGACCCTGTGTCCTGCAGCCCATCCGCACCCCCATCAGGTGTCGCTTCCAGTAGCGCATTATCGCAGAACGAGTGCTTGTGCTGCTGATGCACACGGAGGCCCTTTAAGGTAACCGTCGAGTAACTGCACATGCTACATTTGTAAGGATACTGCTGTTTGGAATCTCCCGTTATCGGTGACTTTTCCCCGTTGACGGTCTGGTTTTGAGTTAGATTCGTATCGATCGCCACTAAGCTGTCGCTCAAAGAGGCCACGCTGCTGTTCTGTGAGCTGACGGTGTCCCACTCCAAGGAGTGGCTCTGCTTGTGAACCACCAGCTTCTGAGCAGTGGTGCAGGTGAAAGGGCAAAGGTTGCACTTGTGAACGATAGTCCGACCTGACAAATGGATGTTTTCAATGTGCCGCGAGATGCTGCGGCGATGCATCGTAAGGAAGGAGCAGAACGGACACTGAAACCGGTTCATATACTTACGGAAAGGAATCCCCTTGGTTTCAAGTAGCTTTGTGTTGCCGATAGTCAGCAACTTTTTCTCCGACGCTCCGGAACTCTGGGATGCTAAAGAGTCCATCTGGCTTTGGTCATCGAGGTCCTGATGCTCCTCATCAGAGCTGCTTCTCTCATCGCTTAGCAAACTGCTGGTCTCCAGTCCAGAATTGGTCACTTTCAGGTCAGCCATCCTGAAGGCCGATCTGCCTGTCAATTCGCCGTCGCTAGCATTAGGGGTGGTTTTGGGCTTCAGCTTTTGAAAGGGAAATTTGATTTTAATGGGCGCAAACCTTGAAACTGCAGTGGGGCCCTGCTTCATGGGCGACGTTCCCAAGGAGCCTTTTAAAACTGAATACTGAGTGGAAGGCATTTCCCTCCTGACTGTTTTCATGGGCAAATAGTTAGAGCCAGGAGCGAGTTTTTGTACATCCTTATTTTGCTGGGGCTTCGAAGTACCAACATTTGACCCGGATTGCTGTTGTCTCAGAGATGAAATAATCTTGACCAGTCCCTGAGCTAGAAGGCTGCGGTGTTTCTTCATCAAATGGTCGCACCAGCGCTCTCGTCTGGAAGTGTGATAGCCACACCACTCACAGCAAAAGCTCCCTCTCGACTTTGTTAAGGGTTTAACTTGTGCTTCCAGGATGCTTCTTTCCACCGCGTCAGTGGGCACTTCACCATGCGATTCCTGTCCTTTCCCACCAGACCTGTGGCACAGCTTCTGATGTTTGATGATTCGTGTGCGTCGCGGGGTCTTGTAAGTACAAAAGCGGCAAGCGAACACTTTCCCAAATCCTTCGTGCATGAGGATGTGGTAGCTGGAGGGAGCTGGAGGTGGGGAGATGGCTGAAGTCTCACCAGCAAATATAGATCCCTCAATGTGACCGTGGACCTTTCGGGTATGTTCGCTGAGAAGATTTCTGGATCGAAAGTAGCGGACACAGTACTTGCACTGGAAAAACTTGTTGCTTGCAGGTTTTGATGGTTGGTTGATGTGTTGATTGTAAAGAACCTGGTTGTTACTGATGTAATTGGAGGAACCAGATTGAAAGGTAGTTTGTGCTTGGGGGGAACGGGAGAGGAAGGATGAAAAAAAAACAAAATGTATTACCAAATTTCAGATTATATTAATGATGCAGGCACAAACTACATTATTAATTGAATGCTACTTGTCCATTCATTTCAAGTGTCTTTTCTCAACATAGAATCAAGATGAGAAGAGGTATGAATCTTTGAATGCTAGGACTTCATTAAATGGAAACAGAGAATTTAGTTCAAAACCTTCAAACTTCCATTTACCAGTAATTCCCAGTAATCTCATCAAATATATATCTTATTAATAAAATTGTGGGGGCTACTGAAATGGGAAATTAAGTTCCTAATAATGCTCCAACTTCCGTTTTATGCCTTTGTTCTGCTCTTTACACTGTACATGAATCGTTACTTACTTCACACAAAAACATTATCCAGAAAAGTATTGGTAGCACCCAGAAACTTTCTGTGAGTTCCACAGCAATTAGTTGTACAGCTATAAGTAAACTAAGTTCCCAGCAAATAGTTTTAAGGCACACTAATCTGTTTGACGTTTTTCTTTGCAATTAAGTTTGTTTGATGAAGAAACCATTAAGGATTTTAATAGAAGTAAGACTTGGCTGGAAATTTGTTTTTATTTGTTTTTGTTATTGGACTAACAGGTTTGCGATAAGTGAGTTCACTGGAAAATTACATTTGGACTCAATTCACTTTCGAAATTACAAGCCATTACATACTATCCTTTCTACATGTATCATGAGCTAATTTGATGTACTGCACGATAATAGGTCAACTTGTGCACATTGTGTATAACACCAGAGCAAGGACAGATTCCGTCAATTTACCTTACAGCATTATGACTGTACTACAGTGGGACAAATTGTGCATATTGAGTATGACACCACTGCAATGCACTGGTATCTATTAACTTACCAGCCAGTGTCATTTCAAAACACAATATAATAATAATATTTGCATTTGATATAGTGCCTTCTCACGTCTTCAAGACGTCTCAAAGCACTTCACAGAATATACTGTAATGTGTAGTGAATTGTGTATTTTGTGGGAGAAACGCGGCAGCCAATTGAACACAGCAGTGTGGATTAAGTGACCAAATTTAATTTTGTTTTTATTATTGTATTTTTAAAGGGATTATTATCCCCCTGAAAAGCGATCTGCCAATCGATCAACAACCGAGTTCCTACTTACTACTAGGTGAACAGAGGCATGTGGAGTAAGGAAAATGTTTTGCCCTGCCCGAGGATCGAACCCAGGTCCTCTCGCTTGCAAGGCAAGCGCTCTAAACACTAAACCACAGGACTCCACAAAGCGGATGTAGCGAAGCTTCTCATTTGTCTAGCATGGAACGGTTTGGTTCAGTAGGTTATAAGATCACAACTCTACGCAATACCCTATGCCAAGTTATGGTTTCCATGGAAGCTTTCAAAGCAATCACACAATAGACCATAGTCTTTCTTATAAGACTATCTCCTGCTCTGATTACATTTACATTATGATGATGCCTCACTCCAAATATTCAAATCAAAGAGGATATGGTTTATTTAATGCACTGTGGATACTGTTTGATGAGAGGTCCACCTGACACAATAGGAACAAACTGGTAAAACTCTTAGAAAGATGATTCAGATCCTCTTTGAGGCAAAACTATTAAGGCGAGGCTGTTATCAGATGAAATTTCCAACTAGTTTGCTATAATGTGTGAATCAGCAGCAAGTCACACGATGGAGATCAGTGGGCTGAAATTCTTGTAGGGATTAAGCCCATTTACATTGACTGTTGAGACATGAGCTTCTCATGAGATTTCTCCATTATAATCGCATATTGCTAATGTCACTAAACACAACACCAACAGGATTTTAAGCCTCATTGAAGAAGAGAGGAATTAAACAGTTGATACCAATATAACTTTGATGTGTAGACCTCACACTCACTAAGAACGTGCATTTTGTGAAAACATGCATTTGTATAAAATGTTAATATTATCTGCACATAAAACAATAATACTCCAAGGACGTATCTCTGCACAGACATCTAAAGCTCCTGTTGTAAAGCCTTTCATTATTATAACAGCTGGAGTTTAAAGATTAGGGTGAGCTCCTGATCAATCTTAGGCTACACCACCCATTACCACAGTTTCTCCTTATAACGCTCCATTAAATATTTTTATTGTAAATATGTATTGCATGCGTGTATTCATTAGTATGGAAATAGGTATACACACTAGAAAGGTGTACACAAAAATGTGGATATATAAATTTTAGTGAATAGTTTTTCAGAAGAAAATTTATACCTGAAAAGTAATTATTGTAGAAAAAAAGCCCTCAACTATCCTGCCAAAAGAAAAGGATTATGTTTGCCAACTTTTCAAGTCTAAAGTACATTAAATGTAAACAATGCAAAGGCAATTGTCGTTTATGTCATCATGGCCATGAATTGAAACAATGCACCAATGATATTACAATGGAGTTAATATTTGTCTTCTTGGACATGTGCGATTTTCTTAACTTCAGCAAATAATGAATACAACAGGACTCACTTGGTGCTTCTCCTTGAGATCCAATCTCAGTCTTCACAGCAGTTAGATTCACTTCAGCTGGGCTGTCTTGGCTCGGTACAACAGAACTCGCTTGACCAGTATCCTCCTCTGGAGCATCCACACGGGGCAAAAAAATGGTATGAACATCTTGGATGTGACTCTTAAGATCTTCGTACGTTTCTGCTCGGAAGTCACACCCATCACACTGCAGTACCTCCATTATTTGGAACGCCTTTCAGTTCAACCTGAAGACAACATAAAACCATAAAACTATTAGCTTTTAGCTAGATGTGCTAGTTTCCCTTAGCACCTGCCCATATTATTGGTACAGTATGGTGGAAAACAGGAGTGCATTCAGTGCATACACTTACTGTTTATGGTGAACAATAACAATCCTTTATCTAACCTCTGATGATCAAACAACCATGACAGTTTTATTGTTAACTACAAGTACAATAAATCTTGCTTCTAACATCCAAATCCTCAATTACCCAGGGGTAAGTTACTAATCTGGAAAGAATGAATCAGAGGAGTCGGTATTTAATATGGGGATTTTTTTTGAACAAATGGGGCAATTGCTGCAATCTGAAAAACAACTAGCAAAGCTAGTAAGGGGAGCAGACTGCAATCAGAATCAGTGCTTTGCATTTGCAAATCTCCATATTTTGGAACATCAACGGGAATGATGGCCATACTCCTTTTTCCTGTGGGGGAGGAGGAGCTGGGGTGAAAGTAAAGCAATGTGAGAAGATTATGATCTATAAAGTCAGAATGATTGATGCAGACTTCTGCAGGGATGATAACAATGATTTGTCTTGATTCCTTTGGAGAATCCATAGGATCCTCATTTAAGGGGTATAAGCAAAGTGGAGTTAGAGTGACTCCCAAGATCTTGATAGCGATAACACTGTATAAAACAATTCAATACTCATAGACAAATAATAATAATCCTTGCATTTGATATACGGCCTTAATCACGTCTTTGAGACATCTTAAAGCACATCACAGAATATACTGTAAAGTAAATTAACTATATTTTGTGGGCGAAACATGGCAGCCAATTGCACACAGAACTGTCCCACAAACAGTCGTGAAATCTCTCTCTCACCGGGCATGTATACAGCTGTGACGCCCAGGCCTGGTCAGTTGGGCGGAAAAAACTCTTCTTCCCAATCATCTGAGATCAGAGATGCTCGCGGCAAGGGTTTTGGACAAATGATCTCCAGCCCTCTTTCACCATAAGGCAGCAATGCCACAGGTTCCAACCCTTTGCCTTTGGAGTCTTGATCTTACTGAGCCAGGGGTGTGTTCATTCTTTTCTCAGTCCTGGGAAAAGGGGTAGTTGACCTTCCATCACTTGGGAAAGCACTGCTTTTCCCGATCGTACATAACGCTGACAGAAATTTCAATTGTGCTGAGGTGGTTGACCGATCGTTTAGCTACTCTGGCCCTTCCCCCAACCCATCTGCCCCATCTAAAGTTTCTGTGGAAACCTCTTCTCACATTGCTTTACTTTCACCCCAGCTCCTCCTCCCCCACAGTCATCAATTGGTCCAACATCTCCCTATTCCCTAACCTCAAAACCATTTAATTCCTTACCTCTTCCACCTCTCCCCCAACAGGCTTTTAAGCCCAAACTTCAGTGTTACCCAACCACCCCTTAATTAATCTTGCTTCTGCTCTACTCTTTCTAACCTTGGTGGTTTATTCCCATTTAGAATATGGTTCTGGACAAGAGAGTTTCAGTTAAAAATAGCTGTACAATACAGGAAATACAGACTAAACCGAAAAAGATTACATAGATAAAAGACACATGAAACTTTTGAGGTTTGAGCAACGCATTGCAGTACACTTCTGCCAACGCTGCCAAGACCTAGAGTAATTCTCAAGTCCATAGGTTTTCTATTGATTCCAAGGACAAACTTGCTTTCAGATATACCCTTACATTTCTTTTATGGCATGTATTCAAAATCTACATGGTGAAAAAGCCCCCAAAAAATCAAGAGCAATCACGTGGTGAAAAATCAAGGTCACAAACATTAGAAACGCTGTACACACCGCTGCGAAACTCCCCCACACAGGCGTGCGCAAGCCCCCCACCCACCCACCCAGGCGCACGCATCCCCTCCGCCCACCCACATAGGCGAGCGCACCCCCCCACGCACCCCCCCCCCCAATGCACACGAACCTCCCACGCACATGCGCACCCACCCTCCCACACACGCAGATCCACCAAACCCCACGTACACGCACCCTAGATGGACCGAATAACCGGTTTCCGTTGCATATCACTCTATATAACTGTTTGTGCAACACGCAGGAAATGACAAGAGTGGCACTTCCTGTGCACAGGTAGTAACGTCAATGGCAACCCAAAAGTCAGCCATCATTTTGCGTCTGGCTTATAATAATAATCGTTGCATTTGATATAGCGCCTTATTACATCTTCAAGACGTCTTAAAGTTCTTCACAGAATATACTGTAAAGTGAATTAACTTATATTTTGTGCGAGAAACCCGGCAACCAATTGCGCACAGCAGTGTCCCACAAACAGTCGTGGATTGAGTAACCAAATAATTTTTTTTAAGGGATTGTTACCCCTGGAAAAATGATCCAATAATGGCCAATAAATGTATTTTGTAACTAAGTTTTTATAGACCCCCAAACAGCGATCACAATATAGCACAGGGTATCAATCAAGAAATCAGTGGAGCATGTAAGAAAGGTAAAGCGATAATAGTGGGTGATTTCAATCTCCACATAGATTGGGAAAACCAAATCGGCAAAAGTAGGTCGGAAGAAGAGTTCATTGAGTGTATGAGAGATAACTTTCTAGATCAGCATGCCGAGGAACCAACTAGGGAACAGGCCATCCTAGACCTTGTTTTGTGTAATGAAACAGGGCTAGTCGGCAGTGTAGGTACTAAGACACCTCTAGGGCAGAGTGATCACAATATGATTGAATTCTGCATTAAGTTAGAGAGGGATATAGTTAAATCCGAGGCAAGTATTCTGAATTTAAATAGGGCTAATTTTGTAGGTATGAGGAAAGATTTAGGTAAAATAGACTGGAGAATAAGATTAAGAGGTAAAAATGTAGACCAACAGTGGCAAATATTTAAGGATGTAGTGCAAAATTCTCAGCGGTCGCATATTCCCTTGCGGAATAAGAGTACCACAGGGAAAGCAATTCATCCGTGGCTAACTAGAGCAGTTAGGGAAAGCATCAAATTAAAAGAAAAGGCTTATAAAACTGCCAAGAAAAGCAGCAAATCTGAAGATTGGGAGAGTTTTAGAAACCAGCAAAATAAAACTAAAAAACTCATTAAGAGCGAGAAAAAGGAGTATGAGGGCAAGCTAGCTAGGAACATTAAGTCTGATTGTAAAAGTTTTTACAAATATATTAAGAGGAATAGGCTAGTGAGGGTGAATATAGGTCCACTTCAGTCAGAGACGTGAGAAGTTGTAATGGGGGATAAGTACATGGCAGAGGCCCTAACTGGGTACTTTGCATCTGTCTTCACCCTAGAAGACACATCAAGTCTGCCAACAATAGATGCACCAAAGGGATAAATACAGGGAGCAACTTAGGAAAATTTTCATTAGGAGAGAATTGGCACGAGGGAAACTGTTAGCACTAAAACGTGTCAAATCCCCTGGTCCGGATGACTTGCATCCCAGGGTTTTAAAAGAGGTAGCTTATGAGATAGTGGAGGCATTGCGTCTGATCTTCCAAAATTCCTTGGATTCTGGAACAGTCTCCATGGATTGGAAGATCGCAAATGTCACACCACTATTTAAAAAAAGTGGAAAGGAAAAGATGGGGAACTATAGGCCAGTTAGTCTCACATCAGTGATAGGAAAAAAATTAGAATCATTGATTAAGGATGTGGTAGTGCGGTATTTAGGGGAACACAATATAATTAGGCCAAGTCAACATGGCTTTACAAAAGGGAAGTCATGTTTGACAAATCTCATAGAGTTTTTTTGAGGATATTTCCAGTAAACTTGATAAGGTGAATCAGTGGATGTGGTCTATTTGGACTTCCAGAAGGCATTCGATAGGGTGCCGCATAAAAGGTTAGTCCAAAAGGGGCCCATGGAATTGGGGGGAGCATATTAACGTGGATTGGGGAATGGTTAACGGGTAGGAAACAAAGAGTAGGGATAAACGGGTCCTTTTCAGATTGGCGGGATATGACTAGTGGAGTGTCACAAGGATCAGTCCTTGGGCCTCAGCTATTTACCTTCTATATCCACGATCTAGATGAGGACATCAAAGTTAATATATCTAAATTCACAGATGACACAAAACTAGGAGGAAGTGCCAACACAGAGGACGACATTAAAAAAAATGCAGCGAGACATAGATAGGTTAGGTGATTGGGCAGGTAGGTGGCAGATGAAGTATAATGTACCCCTACCTACCTGCCCGTACCCTCCGTTCCTCTGGCTCCGGTCTGCTCCACGTCCCCCGCCCCAACCGCCCTACTATCGGTGGTCGGGCCTTCAGCCTCTCAGCCCCCAGGCTCTGGAACTCCATCCCCCAGTGCCTTCGCCGCCCCCTCCCTTTCCTCCTTCAAGGCCGGTCTCAAAACCTTTCTCTTTGACCGTGCCTTCAGCTCCCCTCTCGACTCTCTTCCTCCTCCTCGCTCCCTCCCCCCTCACCCTGACCATTTCCCCCCTCCTCTCTCCCTCCCTTCCCCCCCCTCACCCTGACCATTTCCCCCCTGCTCGGGTCATGACCCAACTGTGCAGCGCCTTGGGACGTCCTCCTGACGTGAAAGGCGCTCTATAAGTGGAATCTTGTTGTTGTTGTTGTTGTAATGTAGGGAAGTGCGAAGTCATCCACCTAGGTAGCAAAAACAGTAGAGTGGGTTCTGGGGAGAGATTGGAATGTGTTAGCGTCCAGAGGGACTTGGGTGTCCTTGTACACCGATCACAGTAAGTTAGTCTGCAGGTGCAATTAGGAAGGCGAACGGTATGTTAGCATTCATTATGAAAGAATTAGAGTATAAGAGTAGGGAAGTCTTGCTGCAACTGTATAGGGCCCTGGTGAGACCACACCTGGAATACTGTGTGCAGTTTTGGTCTCCTTATTTAAGGATATACTTGCCTTGGAGGAGGTGCAGCGTAGATTTACAAGGTTAGTACCTGGGGTGAAGGAGATGGGTTGAGGAAAGGCTGACCAATTTGGGCCTATATTCTCTAGCATATAGAAGAATTAGAGGGGATCTTATAGAAG